CCTTGGTATTCCTGCAGATTTTCCAAGGGCTGAAGCGACGCTACAGCAATCCCTGGACCCATGCCTGCAGTTGGCTATCTCGGCGCAGTGAGCACTATTTTAATTGTACCTTGGTAGGGTCCGAAGAACAATGAGCAGCAGTCGCAGCGGCGAGCAACATTCTCAACCTGTTCGACACATTCTGATGGCGCGCTCCAGCTAGAAATTGCTCTCGACAGCTAATCTTTTGCTTCCTTACTATACCTGTCAGTGACTGGCATGCATGTACAGTCCCCAGAGGATAGTGGCACACAGTGGCAAGGAACCCAGACACAGCGTGCGTATCCACTGTAGATTGTCTACTGTGTACAGTATCTGTCCATTGGGCGTAGTGTAGGTGGTGTAATTTATATGCTGTGCATGAACGTAGTGCTCTCACGTCAAAAGTGCCGATCGGCATCGCAAAACCATTTGAAGGTGAGAAGTGAGAGCTGAGAGGTTGCCAGCCCATATGCGCGCGCAGTGCACGATGGAGATCTTTGGCATTGCAGCAGAGCACTGCATGGTGATGCTGGCTAGTGTCTTGTTTGACAGGATACATGAGGTAAGCTACCTAGCATTGTCCAGTAGAGCTCCGGGCGATCTGAGGATCCATGGTCTTGGTAACGTATTTGATATATTGCCCTGCGAGATCTTTTTTTTTATTATGTGCCCTCTCACTCATCTTGACGCGTACCATGCGTGTCGTCTAATTGATTGACAGGTTCATGCCATTATTACCTAGGGGGCCACTGGCGTGTCGGAGAAGGCTGCGTACGATGCCGGACAACGACTTGGAGCATGAAAAAGGACAGCCCCGTGTTTGCGTGCCTGGCACTAACGTAAGGACCTCGTCCTAGCAAGGAGGCATAGGCTCGTTTTGCCTAGAAGGGATCATACTGTACGGAGCATAGGGGTCGACAGGCCCGACATTCACCCAAAGCAGTGTTATCCAGAGCTAGCATACAATGCCATACATTAACAAAGCATTTTAGTCCTCTAAAGTTGCTTGCCCACGCCTCAACGGACTATCCGAAGTTGAATTAAAGCATAAGTAGTGCAGATGCACTAAGGGATTTCGACATCCCCATATCCCCCACAATGATGCGGCATCGTTGGAGTCGTGGAATATACACAGAACAATTATCGAACGTCATTCTCGATTCGTCGAGTGCATTACATACTTTGAACTAGCCTCGCTACAGTAGTCACCGGCCCTCTGAATTGATGCCCGTATCGGAACTTGTCGCAGAACGCGTCGCGACATATTTATCGTGAGGAGAGCAAGAGGGGAGAGAGAGGGAAAAAAAAAATATTTCGCTCACACTCCGATGGATGTCGTGCCATGTCGCGTTCTGCAGACCGCTTCGATCTTCGTTGTACATACATACGTGGGGGGATGGACCCCCAAAAAGAAGCTTGTTGTCTCCAGCCGCGATTTTTCAATGTGAAGTTTTTTCTTTCTTCTCTCCCTTCCCACCCTTCTCCTCTCCTCAGCCATGAGGCGTAAAGCGTCATGATCCGTCTAGGATTTGGTGACGAGTGTTTTTGATAAGTGGCCCCATGATGAACATAGTTCCCCCGCTTCAGAGTTTGCGGGCGGCCGGCAAAAAAAAAAAGAGGCGATCCAGGGTCTTCTCGGTGGTCGTCGACTACCAGAATGTACAATAAAAGGGCCGGGCGCGATCAGAGTTTGAAGGACTATCCTGCCACCACCTCCACTGCGAAAGAGGACCATTATTACGTGCATGGAAAGTTACCGACTCTTGTGGCGTGGAAAGTTCGACAGTCCACAATGTCTTTGATGCTATAGGCCGTTGATAGGCAACTGGCATGCACACAACGGGTCAAGGTGAGAGAGGCCCATTCATGCGTTTTCGGTCGTGGTCCAAACAAATACAAGATGGATTCGGTCGTTCTTAGTGGTCTACCAAAGACATGTGCAAGTAAGACAGATAAAACTCGGCCTTGCATCCGTCCCATCCTCGCATCCATAAACAAAAACACAATACACACACACAAAACACATACTTTGGCCGCTTGTTCTAATCACTTGACCGAGTCGACCGTAAAGTAGACCGGCTAGGGAGCAAGATTTCCTAGACTAGTAGATAAGAATGTCATTACAGCCAGCCTTTGGCCAAAGACAAAAAAAAAAAGATGTATAAGACGGCAATGACTGCTGCTACCGCTATTGCTACCATGAATTCACTTAGCTGAAGGATTATTATGTCGGATACCACCTATGTATCGCGCACATATATCCTGAAAGCAAGGCATCATTGCTCCTCCATTGAAACCATCAGGGCCTTTATTGCAGTTATTTCGCTCCCCATGCAGAGCTAGTCTACTATTGTGCATCCGCATCGCGCTACATTAGCATTCACAATCTAGGAACCCGCATTTTTACCAATTCGCAACGCGTTCCCGTCAGCAGAGAAAATTGACACTACTACAATCTCACTCCAACCAAACTTCCAATTCACACGGTGTGAGAGCCCGCTCGCTCGGCCTTGGTATCAATTCATTCCCAAGCTGTTCTTGTGCTTGCTCGACTCTTTACGAAGAGTGCCGCACTGCAAATTACCATCTCCATCACGAGCAAAGAAGGGGTCAGTGAAGAAATATACCTGGTCTCGAAAGGCAACCCCTTCGGATCCATCTACCAAGGCGATTACCGCACGAAAAAAAAAAAAGACGATTAAATTCATCTCAGACGATACCAATATACACAGTAGACACTATATACTTTTTCTTTGGACAGATCCCTGCGTCGAGTCGTTGTTCGAAAACCCGCGCGCCGAGGAAAGGAAAAGCACCATTGCACTGACTAGGAAGTGCACTTGAGCAGGAGGTTGAGGTACATTTTACGCACTCTGCCTAATTGAGAATTGACGCGACCGACCGACAGTGCCCATTGTGTGGAGGTCAACAGTGCAGCGCGGCGGTCTCCACATACACTCTGCCTGGCACCGCACCGCTCGCTCACTCACCCCAAAACCTAGCCAGACCAGACCAAACTGGCTTCATACGTTCATGTTGGGCGGAAGTCCCCCAGCCAAGCACTGTCCTCTCCCCCCCCCTGGTACATGGTAGGCCGTCAACCTACCACAGGCGCCCATCTCGTCGTGCCTTGCCAGGTCCATCCCAGGCCCTTGTCTGGCGTCGTGCTTGGGTGGTGCTGCTTCTCCTGGGTCTGCTAAACTTACTAGGTGGCCCGGCTGTCTTAAAGTGCCAGTAACCAATCTCTTCCAATCCTTTTTCATCTCTTCTATCCTCCTCCAACCTGAAGGCGTCTCTCCTCCCCTTTCCCTCCTCCCATTCTCCTCATCCCGATCCATTCATTTCCTACCTCTCCCGACGTCTCTGACGAGTCCTGCTTTGCTTCAACAGCAGGAGGGAAAGGAAAGAGAGATTTATTCTGGGCATCCTCCCCCTTATTCTCTAGGCACAGCATAAGGGCCCGAGATAAATGCAGAGCTGAAGCAAAAGTCAAGCAAAGGAAAGAAAAAAGTAGCAGTCGGCCCCATCAGCCTTCTTCTACTTTATTCAATTGCTCGTAGTTTCTCCCCACTACGGCAATACTCCTTCTTCAGTCAACCCTTCACCCCCCTTTTTTTGTCCTTGGTGATTAGAGCTGGAATTCCTTTCTAAGGAATCTTTCAATTACCACCGACCTTCAACCCCCTTCCGATCCACCCCTCGCCCCGTCTTGCCCATTCCTCGGCAATCGACCTCTCAGCTCAACCACCCCTTCGCCAACCCGCGACAGGAAAGAAGAAAAGAGTCAGCTTACGAACAATTGTCACCTCGACGGCAATTGCTTCCAATCGTTCCTTTTCGTGCCAACGATTCTAGGAATTTGACTTTCGCCCATCGTAATCAAGTGGATCTCCCCCCAAGGAAATACCGGCTTTAGACCCGTCAACGCAGGTCTGAAACTGGTTCCGAGGACAGCAAACGACCTACATGAACTAAGTCACTTGTCAAAGACTTGGTTACCCGTCTCAAGCGGGCAAGTGTCGAGGTATGTTTGTTGCCCATGTATTCTGTGCCTGCTCCAATGTCGGTGCAAATTGTCCAAAAGAGAGAACAAGCGGGAATAGCCAATTTCAAGTCTAATGCCGAGTTCGCAATGTTGCAGTTCGATACCGAGTAGCCTCAGATCCCTCTGTGCTTCCCGGTCTACATCTCGTCACCTGACGCTTCACGTCGAACGACCATCCGCTCGCCCCGTGGGACTCGTTAACTCGTTGTTTCCCACTCCCCAAGTTACAGGAAATCGCCTAATTTCCTGTCAGTCAACCGTGGCGGTAAGGGATAACCCTCTTTTGCTCTCCTTGATAGAAACGATCCCGAACCCCGCGACGTCACCCCCCCTTTGGTTGTGCTCAGTCTTACCGGGAGCCGTGCATACTGTACTCGGTTCTCGTGTCTGGAACTTGATCGGCCCTCTGCGCTATTGTCCACACATAGAATCTATTGTGCTGCATGGATCAGTTGCAAATGCCGTTGAGCCTGATTGGCCCTGCGCCCCTTTTGACAGACGCGAGTGACGACTTGTGGGGCTCTAATCTAGATCTACCTGATATTCTTCAACGTGTGGATGATCCCGAAGCTGATGTTCTTACCTTGTGCAGCGCCCTCTAGTAGACGTCCCTCTTTTTTTTCTTAACGGCCGTTCTCCCCCGCCGGTATTTCACCTTTTTTGAGATCTCTAGTCGTTCTCGCCATTTGCGCTTCGGCCCCAGTCATTCCTTCTGATCGCGACCACGTACCGGTACGGTTCAGCACACTCATTAATTCCTAATACGCATTGGCAGCACTGCAGCCTCGGATTTCACTCTTTTGACCACCTGCATGCAACCATCTAATAATTAAATCCACCAAAACACATTCATTTTTACACTCGGAAGATTCCTGGAGAACCTGATCCGCCACTCTTTCCGCACGAACAGTCGATCAAACGAACCCAGTTCAAAATGGCTTACGCAAACCCCGACTTCTTTGTCGAGTCCGACGAGCCTCAGTACTCCCGCGTCCCCTCCAAGGAGCACCTCAAGATGTTGGCACGCAACCGCCAAGCAATGATTGGCGAGGAGCTGTCACGTCTTGCTAGTGAGGAGTACCTCGAGGATATCATGCAGCATCTCAGCTACATGGAGGTTGGTCTCCATTAATATTTGATACCTCCCACTGCTCAATCAAGCTGACACATGACAGGACGAGACACTGCCCGACGTTAACCTGATCGATATGCAGCGCGAGATTCAGTGGTTCATGAGACCATTCCTCATTGATTTCCTGATTGAGGCCCACGCCGCCTTCTCGCTTCAGCCTGAGACCCTGTTCCTGTCTATCAACCTGCTGGACCGCTACTGCTCCAAGCGTGTTGTCTACAAGCAGCACTATCAACTCGTCGGATGTGCCGCTCTGCTGATTGCTGCCAAGTACGGCGACAAGAAGGACCGTGTACCCCAGATCAACGAACTGAACAACATGTGCTGTGGACTGTACGACTCGGGCATGTTTACTCAAATGGAAATGCACGTTCTCAACACTTTGGAATGGATCATTGGTCACCCCACCGTCGATTTCTTCAGCCAATTGATTGTTGCCGAGGAGGGAGACGACCGTGAGGTAGAGCACATGGCCGCCTACATCTGCGAGATTGCCTTGTACCACCGCGACTTTGTCTCGACTAAGCCTTCAATCATGGCTAGGGCTTCCCTGACCTTGGCTCGAGCTATCCTGTCGCGACCCGAAGTCAACGACGGAGAATGGGACCCCACCTCGTCCAGCACCCTGCGCACCCTTCTGCAGCACCTCCACCAGCCTTCGGCAACCCTGACTAGGAAGTACTCGGCACTGAACATGTCCAGAGTCGCTGTCACCCTGACAGAGTTCCTGGCCCACCAAGCTGCCATTTCACGCCGTGCAGAGCCACCGACTCCCCCGAGCGAGCAGGTCTTGGCTGCCAAGCCCGGCAACATTTACAGCACACCTCAGAAGGGACACAGCGCCGCCGTTGGTGTGGCTGAAGGCTACATGACACCGCCCATTACCCCGGATGGTATCAACTTTGGTGTCACCGACCCCATGAACAAATACGTTCCTCCCAGGTGCCCTGTTACCCCGACACCTCCGGCCTCTCAGGCATCGGTCTACGCCCCTCAACATGTACAACAATACTCGGCATACTCTCAAGATGAGTACAGTGGTCATATGATGACCCACTAGTCCTGCTCATACCAGAACATGTCGTCATAAAGAAGCTTTTACGACGACTAAAAAAATACCACGATCATTGGGCCCTGGCCCATTGACCCATTTTGAAAGACCTCGTATTTGAGAGGCCCATCCGCATGGACTCGTGTATCATTGGAAGACAAAAAGAAGATTGTTGCATACATTGACGGAATTAGGATCTCCATGGCATAGCGACTTGTATTTTTTCTCATTGATTTTTATTTTCCTTTTTACAGTCATTCATACCCATCAAGCGCCTGTTGCGCCCAAAAACAAAATCAACTTCTCCGACCCCCACCAAAAAAAAAATTTCGATTCGGATTCCCGCGTAGGCGATTCTTTCTTCGGCATCATACCCTTGCTCGGTCTTTTTTTCCAGGGTTCCTTCGAGAACAAAAAAGGATTACACAGATTGCACAAACAACATAGACGAAAACATTGCGAAGAAGGCGGTCACATTGGGACAGAAAAATGCATTGTCTTGCACCCATCTGACTGGGATTCAAAATGTGGAGGAGTACGAAATGTCAATTTGTCGACCCACCTACCTGCTTGAGAGGACAAGGAACAATGGAGGAGGATGCTTGGGAAAGCACATCATCGATGGATACCGGAGACATTTTCGCTTCTGGAGGAGTTCACGCATAAACCGAGAACTGTTTAGCTCCTGTGGTGAACGAGGATTGACTTTTATGTCAAGTCCAGCACGTCAACACCTTTACGACAAAACGTACAAAATACTCAACAACCAATACGCACTTCCAAGAGTGGAGAGCATAATTTTGTGGAGGACATTTGCTGCGGACCTCGAGATATATACAAGAGGAAAACCGACGGAAGGAGAGATGACACCTTTGCTGGCTATGATCGTCATCCTTGAAATCGCCAGAGAAGCGCTGCGTAGAGCGATTGTCAAAAAAGAAGGCTTACTCTGCCACGCCGCATCCCGTAAATAGGCAAGAAAAGAGTAAAAAAAAAATATTGCCCCCATTTCGACGTGTTCACTATGCATTCATTTTGTGATGACCATGAATTCATGCTACTTGCTCCCCTGAATACGCCTGACTCTTTGATGATTCAGGCTTCTCCTCATTGCCGTGATGCGCTGAACAGTCTACACTACTGACCGTGCACTTGAGCATGAAGTTATAATTTCCCATGGTGGGTTCCACTTGGTTGTGGAGCCGCGCGAGCATGAGATCTGTTTTTAAGTGTGATCTTCAGGAGATCCTCAGCGACTCGGTCAGCATTCATTCGAGTCACTCGCCCAGTCTTGGACTCAAGGACGGACCATGGTTCTATTGTCGACTTATCTGACACTAGTCCTTTATTCTACATGCCTCCCCGTTGAAACCTACACCTGCCTGTCCCTGCGATATAACAAGCTTCCCCGCCGTCAAAGGCATCCATCTATGAACCGCTTGTCTAGGGCGCCATAGGGATGAAGTTGAAACTCACGTTCAAGAATAAGAATCCGTCAAAAAAAGGGGAGGGAGAAAAGTCTAGGTGGCAAGCACGAAGGCCTATTCTGTCCAAAATGTCTGTTTTACATTTACCTTCTGCATCTAGCCGCACACCCGCCCTTGGGGAGGGAGAGACTTTCCTAGACTTTTCCTGGTAAGCGAGGGCTCCTGTAGGAGACAAGGCATTCCCGAGTTGTTGCAACTGAATTGTCAGCGCCCAACGAAGTCCCATGAGAACGGAATTCCTTCCATGCTTATCATTACGGGTTTATTTGTGACTTTCTAGAGTCCATCAGTCGCAGCCTACCTAGGTTAGGGTGCCGGTTCTGCCCCCCTAGCACGGCGCGCCGAGGAAAGCCGAAAGGTTAGGTAGGCTTGTAGGGTAGCGCTCGTATGATCAGGGCAGCTATTGATTCTGAGGAGTTGCCTAAACCCTGAAAGGAACGATGCTCGGGCTGTAGATAACGGAGGCCACCGTTGTTTCTTTCTTGAATCCGTGTAAAAAAAAAAAAAAAAAAAAAAAAAAAGAACATTCGAAGCTTGTGTATACTTTGCTCTTGGCGAGCATTATGCCCAATATGTAGATCTTCTTTTGATTTTATCCTCATCGCGGCCTTTGGACGAGGATGGGCTGTCGGTATTCACTCCTTACTACGTGACTTCATCTGTCAAACCATGGCGTGTTTGGGCAACAATGCCTAAATCTGTCCTTGTTGTCGTTCTCGGAACCATCCTGATGACCCGTTGGTGCTGTAATATCGATGAGGAGCCTGCCTTCCTGGATAGATACCTAAAATCCGCCTTCGGCATGATTTTTCAAGCACCAGAGTTCATGACCCGGATGGAATGCAGGCGCGGCAGCGTCAGAGAGACTCAAGTGCCATTTGAACTCTTTCTCTCTTGGGTGTATACTGGCATGTTTACATGCCTCGAACACTTACTACCTACGTATATGGCTACGTAATCGCTTCATTGCAGGTACAAACTGTGGATTTGAGAGTCAATTCTCTCGGTATGGCCATGGTAAACATTGTACTGGCAATGGATGTGGTTTCGGAGCACAACTTGTAGCTCATAAGAGTCGTTTGAACCTCGGCTTTCATTATTTGACATAGTTTTGCTTGCTTGATATCCATGGATCGTCATCTTGTCTCTTGAAAGCGTGGTGACCAAAGTGTAGAGATATTGAACATTGGTGAACTATATAAGACACGCATGCAATGTGCTAGTAATGCCAAAAAGTTCAGCCTTAGCTTGATGCAGGATGTCTCAGTATCTCTACTTGAAAGAAGTGGTGCATTATTCCTATTCCTCGGAGGAATCTCATGATTCTATTCCCATCTTTCAAACCTATTCGATGCTCACGTAACACAGCGTGACTTCCAATAGACATCCTGCTCGGGATCTGGCAAATTATCACACCGATCTTCATAGACTAGCAATTGCCAGGGCCTGATATTCTAGTATTAGATCAAGGATAGAAGTCTCACAGGGAGAGTAATTCTATATTCATATCTGAACCGCTCCGACTTGAAGCATTCATAATCATGACACAAACCATGCTCGGCCGCTGTCTTGGTAGAAACAGTTGTCCCCGATTCACCAGGCGACGATTAACAACTACAACTCAGCAGCCCCGACAAGCACAGGATATGAGATTGTTTGGAACCCCATCATCCGGAGTCAACAGACTTCCGCAAGTTCTCCGTACTTGTGGGCACTGCTTCGGGAGGTATATCATGTTGCACATTTGGCCCCAGTCCAGTACCTTCAGCGACCTTTCTCCGCCTCTCTTCACCTGCGTCAACGACCTTTCTAAGCAGAGACATTCGCTTATCGAACTCGTCGACCAGGGCATTGTAGTCTTCTGTTTCCGTGACCCTCTGCCCACTGCCACTGGCACTGCCAGAGGACCCCAGCCGGCTCTTCTCATCGGAAAGCCTCAGCTCGCTGTCCGATGCTAGGGAGCCCCCATCAATCCCTTCTATCCGGAGCATGAGCCGGTCGGGTTTCTTTTGCGTCGGACTTGCGGTAGGGTCACTATTGCCTCCGCCATCCGACGACGGCGGTGAGATTTTGGTGACCTGAGCATCAAGGACGGCCCAGGATGGCGAGAGGCTGGATGCCCACGACACGTTGAGCGTGCCATCACTCGCCGATGTCAAATCTAATAGTATGGCCCGATGGTCCGGTGCAGGGCCCGAGGCCGACTCGCCCAGGTTCGCGTGGTCTTGCTGGGCTAGGGCCTGCATGAGCTCATCTGGGTCGTCGTCGCTAAAGATATATTTCACGCGGGGGTGGTGTGTGGTCCTGGTCGATGTGTTGTTCACAAGGGTGTAAATGGGTTGGAAAGGGGTAGACGCTGTCTGCTGGGTACCTGAGTTGTCGATCGCGGCCGTGGCTTCGACTTCGTCGGCCCCGATGGGCTGCTCAACTTGTTGGGGATCTGCCATTATCAGTTGTGAGTGTAGTAGTAGTTGTTGTTGTTGTTGGGGGCGGCGGCGTGGCAGATTGCAAGCGACGACAACGGCGGCGTCGAACACGACGAGACAACGAACGAATGTATCGAGGAGAGGCTGTGGGCGGGTGGAAAGGCAGCTAGAAGACTTCGTACGGTTGGACTCGGATTGCGCATCGTGATGTCAACGCTTGAGAGAAGATGGAAGTCATACGGAGCAGAAGGCTTGCTTGCGGATTTTTTTTTTTTTGGGTATATCTTTGCAGTCTCAACAGATGCCGCCTTAGGGCGACTTCAGCATAAGGCAGCGAGCAAGCGCAACTCATTCGTTGGCAGGCTGCAGCTGGAGCTTGGAGCTTGGGAGCTTTGCTGCAAGTCCGAGGCATACAGGAGGGTTGAAAGAGGTGACAGCTTCCGTGATCGTTCGCCCGGCCCCAACTCAGCCCAGCCCAGCCCAGTACGTCGTAGGTGCCCTGGGTAGTTCCTGTTCGGGAGCTTCTATCTAATCGGCACGTGGGGAAGCCGGGGAGGGGCGCTGATGTTTCAATGTTGGGGCGCTGTGGGGTATAGAGTAGATTTCGTGTTAATTGTTACTTTTTTGTCCTATGATGAAAATCAATTGTTCAAAGCTCGAGTGATACATGCCTCAATATTCCCGGACATCAATGCAATAGGATGTTCCTCATAGTCAATCCCCATAAAATTCATGAAACATTCATCTTGTTGGAGCTCAACATTGATATTGACATTTCTAATTCTGTTTTGCATACGCATACGCTCGGGGGGACTTTTCAATAACGCCTCCAATTTGTATGGAGGTATGTATGTATCAAAAGTCGTTCGTTCATTGTGTGATATTACCGGCTACCATCTGGTTTCAATTGAGGCCCCAAGTGGTTGGGCCTAATTCTGCACATTGTACGACCTCTCAAATGTGGCTGATGAGTTGCTCAGGTGTATTGCCGGTAAACCTGCTGCTATGGAAATTTGAGGCTCCTTCGGTCTTTCCCTCAATCGTTATCGTGCTTCATTTCGGCATGTGTCGTACACAACGTCCGATGTTACTTGATCCTCTTCAAGTCGGCGACGCCAGAGTTGCTTGTGGTGTTTTCGTGCAAATAGAACATCTAGTTCATAGACCATTTCTTTCCTTATGTGCGTGCTTACTCCTCAACAACCCGCTGCTCTTCTTCCTGCTGTTGTAAACCACCCTCTCCCCACTCAAATTCTGAATTTCTTTAGTACCAAAGACTACTACTAGCATGTCTGAATGGTCTTGACTTACTCTGTCGACACATGGGGCATTGGCCCTTGGAAGAATCTTGCTTGATCCATTCCATGATGCAGTGCTTGAAGGTGTCAGCAAGTCTCAATCTACCATATTTTATGCTCCAGGCTGGCACTGACCATGTGAAAGTTATGACCACATTTTCCGGATACTGCAGACGTCGCATTAGCATGAACTGCTGTTTGGCTCATAATCAGGCCATGGAACTGAGAGATGACTCACATAGACTACAGTCATCCCCGGGGTATTTGCACGTCGGGCAGGTACCGTCAAAGTGGACCTGGCAGATACCACAAACATCGTCTTCTGGGAGATCCCACCGCCATGTCGCAACGGCATTCCACTTCTTGATCTTGACCTTCATGGTGTCTCGAGCCCTCCAGCAATTTCCATGCACCTGATTGATCCGAGATGTGCGTGCATGGGTTTGCACAGATTCGTCAAACAGGAGGCTTTGTTGCGTAAATGTATACCTGGAGCCAGATATAAAGTTGGCCAAGAGGCGTCAGTAGATTGAATGAGTGCATCAAAACGCGATGAGATTCGCATACAGTCAATAAAACTAGACCCTGGTTTAACTAATGCGCTAGCACTAAAGCCGCATCCCGGCCAACGGCTTCCCTGTGCAGCAGCAGCAGCAAGCAGCAGCAGTAGCACGTACGTAGTGGGCAATCACTTTACCTACCTGGGTACCTGCCAGCCACTCGGAGCTCCACCCCGTTATCAACACAACCTTTCACTTGGATTGAGAAAGGTATCCGCTTATCGGCAGCCTCTGCTTTGACGTTTTTTTGACTTCTCGTGAGCCCGACCAACCACCACAACTTTCGAGTACATCATCATCTCTTTGTGTCTGGAGCATAGGAAAGTCAAAGACCACCAAGTTCTTGCCGCTGATACGCGCGCCTTTCCTTCTTTCCCCAAATTCGCACCCCGCATCCGAGAACGATACAAGTCCACCTTCCCCGAAAGCTCTCTTCTCCAAGCTCTGAGCACCGATAGCATCACCGTGAGCTCGAGTCTTTTCGCGAACGCAGACCACGAAACCGCGTAATCGCCCCGAAAATACCAGTATTACTGAGAGTTGCGGGCCTGCAGCTATCGCTCTGGCTATACTTAAGACGTCATTCGCCCGAAAGTTGCGTTTGCCTATACCATTCGCCGAGCTCCGGAGCTCGACTCCTCACATCGTACATTAGTCGGATCCACCAACTGCTACTTCAGGATCACTTCCCGATTATATCCAGACAGCAATGGCGACCGCCACGCTCTTCCGCTCGTCGAGGGCAGCTTTCCCTCGACAGAGCTTCAGAGTCAGATCCTGCCAGTTCCAAATCAACGCCATGGAGTCGCGCCGCAATCTTTCGTCGTACCTGGTTACGCCAAAAGAGCTCGCCGAAGCTCTGAAGAAGAGCCCGCCCTCGCCTATCAACTCCGAACCTCGAGTCATTCCCCTCTGCGCATCGTGGTTCCTACCCAACGACGAGCGCAAGGGCATCGACACATTTCGCCAGCAGCGCATCCCTAAGGCTCGATTCTTCGATGTGGACAAGGTCAAGGATAAGCACAGCCCGTATCCGCACATGCTCCCAAGCGCCAAAGAGTTTGCGGCAGCAATGAGCGAATTGGGCATCAGAAAAGAGGACACAGTCGTTGTATATGATTCGAAAGAGGCTGGTATCTTTAGTGCGCCGCGTGTGGGCTGGACGCTCAAGGTTTTTGGCCACCCCAAGGTTCACATATTGAACAACTTCAGGCTGTGGGTGGAGGAAGGCTACCCAACAGAATCGGGCGAGCTCTACAGCGTTGAATGTAGCATGTATCCCATTCCCAAGCTGAACCCAGACGATCAAGTGGCCAGCTTTGAGGAGGTTAAGGAAGTCGCCAAGGATTACAACAAGGAGGGCAGCGAAGGCGTACAGATTCTGGATGCCAGAGGTGCCGCTCGTTTCACAGGCGCAGCACCCGAACCCAGAGAAGGACTGTCCTCTGGTCACATGCCCGGTGCCATCAACATCCCATTTGATGCCGTCCTGGATCCCAAGACAAAGGCTTTCCTGCCCAAAGAAGAGTTGAAGAAGTTGTTTCAGGAGAAGGGCGTGGATCCTGAGAAGCCCATCATCACGAGTTGCGGAACCGGCGTGACTGCAGTCGTGATTGAGACTGCTTTGGAGGAGGCAGGCTACGGCTCTACGGATCAACGCAGAGTATACGATGGCAGCTGGACGTAAGTTGTACCAAAGATCTGCGCACTCGTGTTGAAGCTAACATGTTATACACAGTGAGTGGGCACAGCGTGTCAAGCCGTCCGACAACCTCATCATCAAGGATGTGGAATAAGGTAGCCGTGGTGGAGCAACCAGCAAAAAGCAGCACACGAAGAAACTAGGCGATGCCATGATGTGATACCCTCCTTTCTGGAATCTTTATAAATTCTTCGCGATGCAGCAGCATGTTTTTATTTCCCCCGGAAGGTGATGAGCGCGAATGATATTGATCAATTCAGTTTATGCTTTTCCAGAAGACACACTTCTCTCTACAAGAGCGATATTTGTTCGTTAGGCACGGGTGGGATGACTGGACTGTACATAGTTGACCCATAATAACGTTTTTATGAAAAGAGACCGAAGTGCCACGATTACCGTTGGAGTGAGTGATAGTGCCGAGTACTCTGTACACGAGAACCTACCTAGTGCCTAGGTGCAGTGTGCAACGTGAGTCTACGAAGAAATTATTGAACTGAGGTATGATTTGAATTGCAGAAACAGGAAATGAAACAAAAACGCAGAGTTTAAGGAGTATAAGGGCTATGCATAGGATAGATCAAGGTTGAGTACATAGACTGCGACCATGGTGCATTTTATAATATGGTCAAGCCAATCATAAGCTGCATATCCCTTGTCCAGAGAACTTTGGGAAGATCGAGCAAGAAAATGGTGCACGGGCCTCCGGTCCCAGAAAAAACCACAGATGCCCCACCAAGCGCGATTCGTCCGGCTTTAGGGCTTCTGAGTTGCCAGTCTGCACACACCACTACGCCGGCTGTCAATTTTTTTGAATTCCCGCCCGAAAAAGTTCGTGTGAGAGGACCCCCCCATTTCGAACCACAACACCCAACTCGACCCGACTTTTACTAACCGCCACAGCCAATTCCTCTCTCGAAGGGTCGAACCGATTTCCGACAGGCAATTCCTCGAAACCGGAATCAACATCAAACAAAATGGCTGACCGTGGTGGTGCACGAGGTGGTGGCTTCGGCTCCCGAGGCGACCGTGGTGGTGACCGACGTGGACGCGGCCGTGGCCGTGGCAGACGCGGAGGCAAGGACAGCGGCGAGAAGGAGTGGCAGCCCGTCACCAAGCTCGGCCGTCTCGTAAAGGCTGGCAAGATCAAGAGCATGGAGGAGATCTACCTGCACTCTCTGCCCATCAAGGAGTACCAGATTGTCGACTTCTTCCTGCCCAAGCTCAAGGATGAGGTCATGAAGGTACGTTGGATACGACAGTCAGCCTGCAGGATTGGCAGATTTCAATCGCCAAGTTGAATATCATGCGCAAAGAGGAGGGACAAGACTGGGAGAATCAGAGAGCAGACGAGGACATGGAATTGGGCGCGCGCAAATCAAAAAAGAAACCATTGAATATCCGAGGCTAACCCACATTTCCCTACTACAGATCAAGCCCGTCCAGAAGCAGACCCGTGCTGGTCAGCGCACCCGATTCAAGGCCATTGTCATCATTGGTGACTCCGACGGCCACGTCGGTCTCGGTATCAAGACCTCCAAGGAAGTCGCTACTGCTATCCGTGCCGCCATCATCATCGCCAAGCTGAGCGTCATCCCCGTCCGTCGTGGTTACTGGGGTACCAACCTTGGTCTTCCCCACTCCCTGCCCGTCAAGGAGAGCGGAAAGTGCGGTTCCGTCACCGTCAGAGTACGTTTACCATGAATCTCAATACATGATGGAAATCAAGACCTAACAACCTGCTTCCTCTAGCTTATCCCTGCCCCCCGTGGTACCCAGATTGTCGCTTCGCCCGCCGTCAAGCGTCTCCTCCAGCTTGCCGGTATTGAGGATGCCTACACCTCCTCTTCCGGTTCCACCAAGACCCTCGAGAACACCCTGAAGGCCACCTTCGTCGCCATCTCGAACACCTACGGTTTCCTGACCCCCGAGCTGTGGAAGGAGACCAAGCTGATCAGATCCCCTCTCGAGGAGTTTGCCGACACTCTGCGCGAGGGCAAGAAGTACTAAGAGACTTGAACATTGTTTTCGGGCTTTTTAGGCGTCTTCTTGTTGTCTTTTGATCATAATGCATGCATGATGGATGGATGACTGCTAGGGTGAGCCAAGGTCATCTGATGGGTTTTCGGACATGAGGCTAGCAAAAATAAACCATTGAGAGAAAGTCCATTATGCGCAATTTCTGTCTGGTTCAACGTGGTGACTGTGTGACTGATGATGAGGCTTTTTCAACTGGGCTCCCTCTATTGAGTTTGTACATCAAGAACAAATGACTGGTGCTGAATATTTAGTGCCAACCGACCCTTCGAGTAGCAACAACGAGCTGGTACAAGGAAATTCGACCACAACTCGAGCGCAGCTGACAACCAGTGCAACGACAGAACGTGACCTCAGCAAGCAGTCGAGGTTCCAATGTTTGCTTGAAGTCCAAAGGAGCCACAGTTGGCCGAGAGACTTCACGGCTGCTTCCTGAATTGTCTGCCTGGGTGATGACTTATCAAGCAACAGTCATACAATCCTTGTATTTACTCTGAGCTTGGAACGCAGGAATGATGGAGACCATGGCAAGTGCGAGTGGTCTGGTCAATTCACGTTCAATGCTCAGCAGTTCCGAGGACCTCTTGTTTCTCCCCATCAGCTTCATCACTCTCTTTTGGCTGCTTGTCACATTTCGACTACACTGCTCCTTTTGGTGTTTTGGACTCTCATTTTGGCCAAACTTTTTGACTGTCTTGGAGATTCTGGTATCTCTCTCTGCCTTGGAGATAATTTCTTTTTCCCAACGATTTTTAACTGCTTTGACTTCCCACGCATTGCACTGGTTGTGTTACGCTGCCGCCCTCTATTCCAATTTGATCGTTGACACGATGCCTACCTTTGCAGCGCTGTCCACAGGATGGAAGAGACTACTCGCCATAGTAGCCTTTTGTGTCTTTTGTGTCATGCTTCCAATCGCTTTTACTCGGCCATATCTCGTCACAGAAGCTATGACACCTGAACTTCAGCAACACAGCATTACTCCCGATCACTTGGGCACTGAAGGGCACCATAACAACTCGGTAGGAATTCTCGAGCTGCGAGGAGAAATGGCCACCAATTCGCCTACTCTGACTCTCAAGCACAGAGATCTTCTCAACGATTATCTTCCTGATGAACTTCAAAAGCGTGGTCTCCTTGGTCCCGGTGGAATCATGCCGGGCAAGGTTCTACCCAGCATTCTCTCTGCTCTTAATCCCAATGTCGTGGGTGCTCTCACTTCCCTCGCTGCGGCCCCTCTGTCAACTTTGATCCCTGACGTTCCCGACATCCCCAATATCCTGCCCACCGTTGCGGTAGACGGCGGAGCTGGCTTACCACTCGTCCCCGATCTTGGTGGGATAGCCTTGAATCCCTCTGAGCTCGCCACCGTTGCCGATGACGCCAGTGACTGGATGGCGGCTGGGATCTCAGGGCTCCTGAGCGGAGCCACAAAGCTGCTGCCGGGCAACCTGCCACTAGCTACTGTTGTCAGCGAAGTGGTGGCTCATGCCACTGCAGCGGCCGACCAGGTTTTGAATCAAGTCCAAAATGCCGCAGCACAAGTTGCTGACCTTGCAGCGAAAGTTGAGACCGATGTGCTTAGCCCGGATGGTGCTCTGGTTGGTGCCGGATCACTTTTGGACAATCTTGAATCAACGATCGACAACATCGTCAATGGTGTGGTGGCCGATGTGGCCGACGTTGTGCCCAATGACTTGTTAGACGAAGTGAAGTCCCTCGTCACCGGTGGCCTCAACTCAATCCTCGACGCCACCAATGGACCAGTTGCGGCTGTGGCATCAATCATTGACATGAATCTCTGCGAAGCTGTCAAATTAGTCGAGGGTCTCCTCGTCACCGTCACTGGCGTATGTGGCGATATGGCTTCTGTGACATCCTTCAGTCCCACATATACTGAGACTCCTGCTGCGGCAGTAAACGGAGCATCACCTCTTAATCCGACTGTGACTGGTGGTGGTGGTGGCGGCGGCGGCATTGTATCCGCATCAGCAGCGCAATCCGCCACAATGCCTTTGTCGACCCACGCAGGCACTCTCACTATTTGGCCATCTGCCACAGGCGCTCAGGGAAGTGTCCCTGGAGGAGTCAATCCTACACAACCAGGACCTCCTGGCGGTGCCACTCAGCCTAACCCAACATCAAAACCGAACGGGGCGGGAAGCAATCCGTCGGCTCCAGCTGGCGGTAATGGGATTTCGCAATCTGCTCCTGGCTCAGGATCTGGCTTTGGGGGAACTGGTCAGCCGGGCCCAAACGGTGCAAGTAGCAATGGTGGCAATCAACCTTCTGCTGGATCTGGCTCCGGATCTGGGTCAAGTAATCCAGGAAATGGACAACCAGGTTCTAATGGTGGTAATGGAATCTCTCAAACTACCTTGGCGGGTTCAAATATGGGAACACCGAAGGTGACACCGACCGCCACGGGACAGCCGATTCCTCTCTCCCCTGAAGGTACTGGCCCCAACGGATCTTGGACAGGTGGCGGCAATATGCCCTCCCCAACTGGTCAACCAATTGGCTCTCCTGGGACCGTTCTGTCGATAGCGCCTGGTAGTAAGTTACATGTTTGATTCCGTGTCGACATAGTCTGACCAGTCATGCTATAGGTGGTGGCGGACTATCTGGCGTCACGGTCTCTGTTACAATAACGTCTACTCTGACTATTGCCAATGGTGCTGGGCAAACGCAAACTGTTTATGTGTATGTGCTAGAGACACTTGGTGAATCCCTCGCAGATGAGTCATGGGCTGCTGCTAACATCGATTCCAGCTCCGGATACACAACGACACTTACTGCCACTACTTCTGTATATATTCCATGCCCTGCTCAACCGCCCTGCCCTACAACGCCTCCCACTGGATCATCACCCAGCGGCCAAGCAGGCACAGGTCCTTGTCCGGGCAGAGGGTATACATGCGATGATTGCATTGACGGCTGGTTCTGCCCGCCTGCTCAGACTCCAGCACAATCAGGACCAAATGGGTGCTTTGGCTGGCCTTGTGCCCATTGCAGCAGCGGATGGTTCTGCATTGCCCAGCAAGATGTAGGAACTTGTACCAAGCCCACAGCTAGTGGGCCGTTGCCAAATCCAGGCGGCCCTATCTCACCGGCACCTCTCGGACCAGCCTCGTTCACAGTGATTCCGCCCTTACCTGTTGGTCAACCGCCTTTCAACACCGTCCCTCCCCAACCTGCAGGTGCACTACCTACCATCAAAGACCCAGCCAATGGATGGAGCTACTCGGGCTGTTGGGCAGACCAACCCCTCTTTGCTGTCCTCGATTTCACTCCCGAGACTAGCTTTGGAGCCGTAGAGAATGAAAAGTGCGTACGGCACTGCATCAGCAACGGTTACACTATTGCTGCAACATCGTTTGGCAACAAATGTTTTTGTGGACAGTATCTCAATGGAACAAGAAAGCTGGATGATTCTGCCTGCATGAGCCCTTGTATTGGCGATAGCTCCCAGGCCTGCGGTGGTGACTGGTCCCTACTTACCTACACACCTAATGGGATTCCACGTGGGTGGGCCCCGGTTGGTGAGCAGCCAGATCCGAGTCCAAGGCCTGTACCTACCATTGTAGAGCTGGTGTTTGGCGGCGTTGAGCAAAGCGTTACCACCGCTGACTTTGTCGTTGGCCCAACTTCGGGCATGGACATGGCATCCATCATTGACTCGTATGGAGAACGGTATGCCCAGTCCCAAGCGAGTCTCCCAGATGGTGTTGGTCCCGCCACGCAATGTTCCAGCACTCCTGGTGGTCCGACTGGCGCGAGCTTGACAGCCCCAGGGAGCGGCAATGGTCCAACGTCCCAAAGTGTCGATACGAGCCCTACTCAACCCGGTGATGGCTCGAATACCTCTTCATCACCAAGAGGTGGAGGTGGTGTAGCCCCAGGGCAACAAACTCCCACATCGCCTGGAAGTATATCGGCACCCAACGTCCCGGGACAGCAAACCCCTACTTCACCAGGAGGAGGTGTGACGACTCCTACAATAACAGGAGGCCAAAATCCCAGCATACCGATTAGCGGAAGTCCCAGTCCGACTGTTCCTGGTGGTGGCAACCCAAACACCACACCAGGAGGCATAGGCCCGTCAAGTTCAGGTTACAGCGGAAGTTCTACCAATACAAACCCGGGAGGAGGAACCAATCCAAGCACACCAGCCAGTGGAAATCCCAGCCCGTCAGCATCCTCACCAAATGGGGCCGGCGGTGTTGCTCCAGGTCAACAATCCCCCACATTTCCAGGCGGTATGGGTCCTAGCTCAATACCGACCGCTAGTAGCACGCCTGGTATGACTCCGGGAGGAGGTAATCCTCCAAATACATCACCGATCTCTCCGAACAATGGCGGAGGGATCGCACCGGGACAACAGACGGGACAACAGACACCGACTTCTCCCGGAGGTATTGGTCCAAGCCCAAATTCACCAGGCGGCAGCATTCCGAACACCCCTCCCACAAACAGTCCCGGAGGTAATGGCCCTGGTGGTCAAGGGCTAAGCACACCTCCGGGAAACAATGGAGGTACTCCGACAACACCTGGTGGCGGAGGCGGGAATTTACCTACTTGTACACCGGGCTCTTCAGGCATCAACTGTATTCCTCCTCTCCCACCAGGAGTTGGTCTTCCCCCAACACCCGCAGCTGGCTCGTCTTTCCCTCCAACAGGAGGGCCGTTGGGGCCAACTCCTACTCAGCCGGGCGCCAGAAGTCAAGGTACAATCTCACTTCCAGGAGTTGCTACTCCTACCAACCCTAACACCTCATCAACACAATCAAACCCTAGAGGCGCTAGCATGACTGCTCCTGGGAGGCAATCGCCTTCCACCTCGAGTACGATACCGGCATCTTCAGGCACCGATAATGGTTCAGGGTCAGTGACACCAGGCGGCGGGAATCTGACAACTGGCCCTGGAGGGAGTGTTCCTGGAGGACCTTCATCTCCTATGCCAACAGGTAATCCTACTGGCCCGGGAGGAAATGTGCCTGGCATTACACCGACGCCTACGACTGGACTGAACGGTGGTATCACACCTGGTCAGAGCCAAACGCCAACGAATCCAATCAATGGTGGTGGACCCAGCAGTTACAGCTGGCCACCCGGTATGGTTCCTTATGGCGACCATCCACCTTTTACGACGCTCGCCCACATGTTGAGCTGGAAAGCACCGGATGGATCCGCTGGCGCAGCTACGCTCAAAGCCAGGGAAGTCTCTGGTGAAGAAGAGGCCAATGGTGTAAAAATCGATATGACCAGCGAGCAGTCGGCAACTCTGGGTAAAGGCATCCACAAGAAACGGATCAGATGGCGTGATTCACTGTGAAGGAGTAGTACACCACACAAGATGAGACTCGGGGGCATTCCGACTTATTCTCATTCGACCACAATAATCAATAGGTCATATCTAGATTGCTTTTTGGGGACGGGTCAGTAGAGTCCACTTACAAGATAATTTGCATTTGGTGTTTCTGGGGGAATATTTATCGGCTTCGAAATACTTATCTTATGATAGCTCTGCAGTATCCAATTTATTCATGTGCCACCAATATGAAAAGAAGCCTGTTCATTTTCGCTCGCAAGGAATAACTCGTCTTTGACTATCTTTGCGAGATGGCATCGAGAGACATCATTCCACAAAGGTTCCAATTTCAATTTGCGCTCATTCAAGCACGATTGAGTAGATAAAGTAAAGGACTATACTATGTCCAAGCCTCACCGTTGCGAGTGGAACAGCCTAGAGAGACAATGTGGATCTGCCAATGTTGAGGCTCTTGAGCGGCCAAGAACTTGCAAAGAAGCAAAATCGGGACAGCCGGCCGGGGGGGCGCAATGCGACGTGGGCTCTTTTTTTTTTTCTCGGTTGCGATCATCCCCTATATCTATCTATATTACCAAAGGTGGACTTGAACATTTCCAAAGATTTGGCCAGGATTTGCACTTCGGCCGAAACAGCCGTCGACGGTGGCCAGAACTTTATCACAGTGTCGGGACTCGACTGGGGGGTTCGTGTTCTCAGCTAAGCTGGTTGTTCAGGGGTCAGGGTCTGACGTTTTGGCCCCTTTCATTTCAGGGCTCCACCATATCGACGACCAACTGGTGGAAAGTCATGGTCTTGTTCTATGGGCTAACCTCATATTATCAACTCAGCCTACCATCGTCCAGAGGGGAAAGAAATTCATATCGTTGTGTCGATATGCTAAAGATCCAAGGTGTAAATTGATACAGCGCAAGACTTACCAGTATGCAGACAGTCTATTATCATCTGTCGTCGATCATGGTGGCTGCTGCATGCATATGTACCTAGGTAGGCGCTTCTCCGCATTATCGTCGGTCTTGGCCGGCACAATCACAAATTTCCGGAATTGGAAACGAAAAGATCCAACAAACGTTTCTAATTGGCGCAAAATTTGAAGGAGAAAAAATGCATGCCTCGGCAAGCGAGTCCCCAGGGGCCTTGACCACCAAGACCGGGGCATTACAAGGGCATGTCATCTGACTGCCCCTGCTGTAGTGCGTGTACTCCATACGGTAGCTGGATATTCTACGAGTCTATACCGTATTGCTGGAAAGTCTGGATCACTTTGGACATGGGCGTCAACGCTGACAGCAGAAAATTTCGAGAACCCCAACTAGCTGCGGAGCCTCACGTCTCGAATAGATCGCGCGCTTGGCTCAAGACGGGACGAACTCCCGCACAATGGAGACCCTTGCCGTCGTCTCCGCTTACTTCGGCATGTTGCGAGAATGCTGACGGCTCGCTTGGACGATCAGTGACAGCTCTTTTTTGGCATAAACTTAAGCTTGACCCATCGTGGTCTGTCAAGCAAGACCCGCCCCGGCGATGAGACTCATGGGTAAGGAGAGGGAAAAAGTGGCAAGTACATAGTAGAGCAGCATGGGTTCGTATCCTTGCGCTCTGGAACATGCGAGGTCCTGGTGGTATTATGAGCTCTTGGCAAACTCGACATACCAAAGGGGGGATTCCAAGTCAAGTATCGTGAGGTCGAGCGCGAAAATATGATCGAGGAAATGGGATATAAACCGTCCGTCGATCCCCCATCCTGTAGGAAGATCTTGGAAACAGTATCCTGCCATCCCACGCCTTGATCGGCCTGTCTTTCCTTCTACTTGACTATACTTTCATTCAAACAAAGCACATTCTTTTCGTTTCGTCCTTCTTTTTGAAATACCCGCAAAAAAGCACACCAATAATCCTCATCAACTACTCTGAAGATTATAATTTATCATTACATCAACATTACAATCATGAGATTCGCGGGTTCGTTTGCTGCTGCAGCAGCGCTGCTATCCAGCACCGTCTCGGCCGTGTCCGTCTCTGGTGCCGCCGAGGGTTTCGCCAAGGGTGTTACTGGTGGTGGCTCTGCAACTGCCGTCTACCCTTCCACTACGGCCGAGCTGGTCTCTTACCTCGGTGACGACACGGCCCGTGTCATTGTCCTGACCAAGACCTTTGACTTTACCGGCACCGAGGGCACTACGACCTCGACTGGATGTGCTCCCTGGGGAACTGCTTCCACCTGCCAGCTTGCCATTAACCAGGACGACTGGTGTGACAACTACCAGTCCAGCGCCCCCAAGGCCACCGTCTCCTACGACAATGCCGGTCTTTTGGGCATCACGGTCAAGTCGAACAAGAGTTTGATCGGCAGCGGCAGCACTGGTATTATCAAGGGCAAGGGACTGAGAATTGTCTCGGGCGCTTCCAACATTATCATCCAGAACATCCACATTACCGACCTCAACCCTCACTACGTCTGGGGTGGTGATGCCATTACTCTGGATGGCACTGACATGGTCTGGATCGACCACGTCAAGGTAAGAACTACACCCAACTCGAAAAGGGCGACTTGAAAACGTTTATACTAACATGTTTCCCCTCTCATTCTAGACCTCCCTCATCGGCCGTCAGCACATTGTCCTTGGCAACTCGGCCTCCAACCGCGTGACCATTTCCAACAGCGAGATTGACGGTAGCTCCACCTGGTCGGCCACTTGCGATGCCAACCACTACTGGGCTCTGTACTTTACTGGCTCGGGCGACATGGTCACCTTCAAGAACAACTACATCCACCACACCTCCGGCCGTGGCCCCAAGGTCGCCGGCAACACCCTGCTGCACGCCGTCAACAACTACTGGTACTCGTCCTCCGACCACGCCTTTGAGGTCGACTCGGGCGCCATGATCTTGGCCGAGGGCAACGTGTTCCAGAACATCCCCACGCCCGTCCTGACCGACATTGAGGGCCAGCTCTTTACCGCCCCCGACACCACCACCAACGCCGTCTGCTCCACCTACCTCGGCCGCGCCTGTGTCGCCAACGCCTTTGGCAGCTCGGGCACCTTTTCCTCGTCTGACACGGCCTTCCTGTCCAACTTCAAGGGCAAGAACATTGCTAGCGCTAGCACCGCTTCGGCCGCCAAGTCCGTCGCCAGCAGCGCTGGTTTCGGAAAGCTCTAAATATACAAGGGCCCTACTTGGTGATCTGACCAGCTCCTGAGAGAGTGGCTGGTTAGGGATGGGGGACCAAACGAATCCTATTCTCGTATATAAATATTTTTGTGGCATCACTCCAAAGCTCTGCGACGCGGGTTGCCCACACATTGAATCCTTCTTGTACATACTACTTATACTTCTAAGACCTGAATCAGGTTATAAACGAAATCTTTATTCTCTTGAATTAAATGGAGCATGTATTGCATATCATGTGTGAATGTGATAATGTCGAGCGTCTTGGATGGATGCCACGACCTGGCCAGTCAGCCTCGAGTTGCCTTGGTTTTTTTTTTTTAAAGGGGTCTGCACGTGGCTGTGTATGGGTAACCGCAAATGACTGTGCTCTATTGGACATTATATGGTTCATATTTTGAGACTACAAGCCGTAGTTTTGATATGATGAATAAGTTTTATACAGCAATATTTTTCTTATAATATGAACAACGAATGCAATCATATTAGGTAAATAATATTTACGACCTTGATTTTCGCACCGGCACATGTCAGTATGGAGTGTACTTTTCACTTGCCAATTTCTTTTTACAATAAAAGAGAACAACACACCCGATACTATGGAGACCATATATATAAACATGATACTGGCGGTCAAATACAGTATTTGGGGCTTCCCATCAAAAGCTACGTTTTCTCTGTCCGCTGCCTTGCAATAAATGGCGTCAAATATTGGGAAAGATGCATGGGCCGATTAAGGTTATAGAGGTACATGGTCAGTTGAACTGAAATATGCAAACCAGTTTCGTTGGACCACGCCCCTGCCTTTCACAAAAATACCACTTCCAAAATACCACACTTCCAATCGCTACACTCTGATCACTGTACAATCAAGGGCTGTCGCTGATTCACAACTCGATAGCTCACCTTCCTTTGCTGTCCAAGTCTAAGAATAGACCAGCAACCTAATAGTCATTCAATCGCGGCAATTTGGGACTGGTACACACCCTCTCCAGTTATTCACTTCCGTTCATTCATTATCCACCCGCTATTCTTTGGACCAGTTTATTCACTGGACGCCCGTTGCACAATCGTTCACCCATCCTTCTATAAATTACTTGCACAATCGAGCATTTACAGCATCTTGATCATCATCGTCAACATCATCGACTTCATATACTTTCACATCGTCGCATATATTCTTCCGTTCATACGATTCGTGACTTGCATCTTCAAGAAAGATTACAGCGCAGAATCCCACAATGTCCGCATATCCTAAGGATAATGGTGCCCAAGCGCAGCCCATGCAGGCCAGAAATCAACGCAAGATCCGCTTGCTCGGCTGCACTTGGGAGTCGTTCTTTACCCAATATCCAGTCCGGCGGACCGGATCTGCGACCGAGTCGGTATTGCCTTCCGACTCATTAGTGGATCATAGTAATCCATCGCGATCTACAAGCGATTCGTCACTGCCTATCGATAGATGGGTAGACCAAGTTACTGCTTTGGTCGCTCCAGTCAAATTGTGGCCATCTTCTTCCATATCAACACACTCTTCTTCCTTTCCACCAACACCCTCATCATCATCTTCTTCTTTCTCCTCCCCATCAGTAAGCGACAAGTTTTTGAACCGACAGAGAGGGGAAAGGTATATTCCTCCACATGCACGACACAACCACTACTCAACCGACACCAACGAGAGGACTTCGTCATCGTGGCCTCGGGCTTCGCGTCAGTCTTCATCATGGACATCTCGAGACATGACCACTACGGCACCAATTGTCCTTCCTGACCTCTTAGGTCAAAAACCATCCAAGATGGCACAGCGTGAAGCCAGCAACGATAGAGACTCTGTCGAGGAATCGGATTACCACCGCATCCGCCAGAAATACGGCTTCAGGCCCAACTACAATGGCGACGTCATGAACCCGGCAAATCGTCCACAAGAGGTCCCCAAGGAGCTGAATTGCAATCTGTGGATCACCGGTCTGCCTGCCGACTGTACGGAAGGCGACTTAGAAGTCGCTATTGGCAAGGCCGGCGCCATTTTCGCAATCCATCTTAACCGACCTGACCTTGCTATCGGTCACGGCACGACGGCAGCTCATGTGGCATTCATGAATGTCGAGTCAGCGCGGGCTTTTGTCGACGCCAAACGCAAATCGGGCCTCTTCGTCAAGGGCCACCTTGCCAACGTGGGTTGGAACCGCAACCGTGTCGGCCCGCAAAACGAAACCAACCCCGCCGGCAAGCTTAGATCGCGAGTCCTTGTGATTCGAGGACATCCGTCCATTGTCAACGAGGAGAGCCTGACGGGCCTGTTTCGGCGCTACTGCAAATTCTTTACGACGAGTATCCAGATAGTAGCGGAAGAGGAGGACGGTTCGCGGACCATGGAGTGGAGGTTTGCCCGCGTCGCCGGTCAGGCCGATCTCGTGGCGAAGTGTTTGTATGAGCTGAATGAGCAGGAGGGATATGGCATCAAGTACCACTTTGCAAGGGACCCTTGTGAAGTCGACATTGTCCCGAGCTCCACGCCGCAGCATAGCGAGCTTCAAATGGGCGCTCAGCGCAGGAGTACCTGTCTCATCCCCCATTTCCCCCACATACCGTGCGGCACCCCAGCTCTGACTGGTATTTAGAGGATTACTTCCTCACAGACGAGGATGAATCATCTGGGTGGAGCATCGACGTTGACTCAAGCGACGATGAGGACGACACTTGATCCGCTTCTACTGTCCGCTCCAACAACAAGCGGCCCATGAAGTGCTCACAGAGGACATTCAGCTGCTGTTGATTCGTGGATTGCTGGAGGATATCCTGATAAAGAGGATAGCGTCACGTTGAGAATAAATCACCTGCTCAGAGCTTGCTTTCTTAGCTTGGCTGAAAATTGTTATCAAGGGGCGAAATGGTAATGATGATGGTTTCGGGCTGGTCCAAGGAAGTCGGCAACGACCACTATACCCGCAAGCGAGGGGTACAAAGTTATCCAAACTCGGTCATTTAGAGCCCGTTGAGAGAGGATAATGATAATGGCAATGATAATTATGGGGACGATGATTATGACGCCTAAGTAGTCTTAATATGACCCAAAAAAAAAAAAAAAACCAAATTGAAAATCCATGATAAACAAAAGTGCAGATGGATGGTGTGACAAAAATGCTTTCTCCCGATATGCGGCCTTGTTACAGGGCTGAATGATCGTGACCAGCAAGCAGCCAATCCGTGTCGATGCTAGATGCTGGAAAGGGAAAGAGTCTGGGATCATGGGAACAACGGGAGCTGCACGCGAGCTGCAAGGTACCGAAGATTACAAAGGAAAAAAAAAGACCACCCCTCATCCAGGACTTGGGAGTTTTTTGAGGCCCGTGGAGGGGTCGCCAGGCCGTGGCACCCGGTCTGTTATCGAGAAAAGGCAATTGTCCAATGGTAGACAAGGGACCAGAGCACAGCAGAGGGGATCATCACTACTACCTTGCAAGGATTGCTTAAAGGTGGAAAACAAAGTTTCATAATTTAGCTCTTGTTATACAAGACTAGAAAAGTAAGGGTATCTATATATGTGTGTTATCTGTTACCCAAACAGAAATAAATGCTCGACTCCTAAATGAACCATCGCCCAGCGGCAGAAATATCTTTACGTGAAAGGAGATCTATTGCAGTATTTCCTCCATCTCCATCACTGCAGTTTCCCGTGTTGCCGAGTGATAATAATGTCCATGACCTTCCTTGAAACGCCAACATAACCCAGAATGCAAATTTGGCTGTGTGGAGCTCTTGCAACAGAGGTCATCACAAAGGTTCTGTCTTATGAAAAGACCAGACCAGACTGACTAGGTGCAACCTCTAAGTAGGGTCGTCTAGTGCCTGCTGCTGCTGCTGCTTCCATAAGATCGGTATGGTGGGTGAGGTTCAGCCGAGTTGTAGCCTCTGGCGTTCTCTTGGTGAACAGTGACGCCGCCACGAGAGACGACGGTCTTCTTGTAGTCTTTTCCGGTCGAGGAGCGGAACTCTTGGTAGTAGGCATCACGCGAAGAAGCTGGGGAGGTCGAAGAGTGGCGGGAGCTTCCCGAGCTTCGAGACGAGGTGTATTGGTACTCCATTATGATGTTTGGGGTGTGTGATGAAAGGTATGTGAGGATGGTAGGTGATTTTGTCTGATGTCTTGAGGGTTTGCTTTTGGTTGGGAGGCAAAATGAATCTCTTCAATCAAGGACTGGAGAGGAAGGTGAGGTGGTGATGTTGATATAATATATGCTATGTATATAGAATATGTATTTGTTTGTAGCCGGTTCTAGTCAAGGCTCAAGATTGTCTGGTGACTGATGCTGAATAGAGAACAATTGGGAACAATTGAAAAGGAAGAAGGATCTATACTTATATACACAAGCCAACGAGATGAGGTCCAAAATATAGTTCCTCAATACTCATGGCGGTACATCCCATAAAGGACCTCAACAACGTTAGTGGGCTAATAGACATCGAGGCCCTGGCTGTGTTTGTCCAGGCAGAATCTCAGGCAGAACCCTCGAAATATGGTCCAGAACGAAGTGTTTGTTAGTCAAAATGTACATATTCGCACACCGAAAGCTTATGCGTGAGTCACTGGGAGTGGAGTCCTTCAATGTGTATAATGTCTTGAAGATGGGAGCAAAAACAAAGGGAAACCTACGTTTCCTACCTATGGATAATGTCGGCGACTGATTTGATGGTTTGCTTGTAGCAGGCGGTGCTGGGTGGGGCTTGGGGGTGGCCTGTCGGTAAAGGAGACCAAAAAAAAAAAGACAGGGCATTCTTGCTCTTGGGGGCTTCTTCACAGATAAGTAAGCCGCAGTGGGAAGGGCAAGCAAATAGTGAATTATTACAGTACAGGGGGCAGTGTAGTGGCAAATCTAGGCTGATTTATTCTAGTGCACGGGCAGCTATCATGTTGTTGTTGAAAGAGCCACAAGCGCAAGGCTTTCAGTGTAGGAAAAAACATTGTGTAGGTAGGCACAGGTGTAGGCATGGTGGTAGCTAATGTAAGAACTGGGTGTGTATGGGGGCGTGTTACCTGGGAAGGAAAGAAATAAACACCCGCAGACACCACCACTGCGGCGGCACTCAATTAGCCTGCTGGCGTAGCAGTGCCCTTGTCTGGTACCTACCTGAAACACAAAAACGCCGACAGCTTTGGGACCCAAGGCAGTATTGAAGCAATAGACAGACAATCTATATGCCTGGAGTCAATGAAGCACTTACCTGAGTCCTATGGGCTCAGGTCGGTCCTACAAGGACTTTGGAGACAAAAAAAAAAAAAAAAAGGACGTGACTAATGAACAAGGGGGGGATGTTGGTGTGTGCGTAACGTCAGGTCCCGTCACAAGTGGTGGTGACACAATGCGACACTTTTCTTTTGGAGATGGCCGCAAATTGGCCAATACGCAACTGCGAAGCGGCAGAAGTTGTGCCTAGCAAACAATGGTGCTGAATTGAGGATTGAATTGGGAACAAAATTGGAGTAGGCGAGACACGATCCATGGATGCGTGCAATCGTCAATCGAGTGTAGGTAGCTGGCTGCCTAAAGCTTCAGGGAGCAAATTCACGGGCTTCTGGGGAATTTGCAGCCTGGTGTATATCGTACCTGCCTGTATCCATTCTGCCTTTCGAAGAATTGAACGCTACAAGCCCTGTATTCAGTGGGTGGAGGTACATCCAGCCCCTCTAAGCCCAATGCAGCGTCGGTGAAAACCACAAAACTCTCAGTCCAGAACAAGGCCATTCGCAAAGATTCACTACCCTAATAACCTACATTTGATTCGGCAGACATACTAAACTACAGCTAGAATGTCAGCGTGCCTATGTGAATCGAGTGAACTAGCACCGTAGTGCTATCATTCTGTTACATTACTTTGGTGACTCATGTCGGTGGCTATGGTATGTCTGGAGTCGTGTTCTTTGCATACAAAGCATCATGGATGCTGGTCACCGAACAAAACAAAACATTTACACTCCATTCAATCAATCGCAGCGGACCACAGCTTTTTCAACTTTGGAGAGGAGCGCCATTGCTGTGAATACGAGAGACCCGTGGGCGGCATCTGTAATGGTCACAGATGCTACTCGTCACGGTTCCGCAATCCAGGTCCGGGAAGGAATGCAATTGAGTTCTGGAGAATGCAATTGGCTAATGCAAGCTGCCCTTCAATTGGCACGCTTCAAGCTTGATACTTCCCCCTTCTGCCCCCCAGGTGCCCCCATCGACTTTCCCCCAGGTTGCTTTGCGGTCGCGGCCTGGACCCTGAATCGACGTCATTTGATGGCACCTACCAACACCACATGCTGTGAGACACACACACACACACACACACTGCCAGGCACAGCTCAACTTTTTACCCATTTATTTCATTTGCTCATCACCTTACTTACGTATCTCACGCAACACATTTGATCCGAAAGGAATCTGTCTTATTGCATCGCATAGAGAAAGAAAGAAAGAAAGATGTAATCCGTGCATGACACAGCCCGATTTTTCTACATAATGACCCAAATCTTCTTGTTCCGGTACTGGGCAAGGCCCTCTACCTCTAGGCAGAAGACCCATGATGTATTACTGCATCGAGGGAAGCTAGTTTCGTCTCCGAGTGGTAACTTGAACAATCAATGACTTTGATTTCTTGGGGGCAGTGAGCCAGCCCAATGCACAATCGCTTGAATGGTTTTCGGCGGCTTCCGCTTCCAGCTGGAAACTGATCGAAGTCTCCTAATGAGGCGCAGCGACAAAGGCTCGCTACTTGTCGATTGATGATATCTCAATACTTCCTAGGTAGTAGCCACCAAAAGTGTTTTTGGCCGTCGGTGGACAACTGGTGGTAAGAGAGCTCGCTCGACCTCCCCCAAGGTTGCAACCAAGACACACTCAGCTGAGGGCAGTTGGGCATCAGCTGGGGGCGCAATCAATAATAGTGCGCTAGACCTTACTGGTAGGTACCTATTCTAGGGGACGAGAGATGGTGGGGGCTGACGCTGGCAACGAGCTATGGGAAAGAAAGCCAGATATGGGGTTTGAGATTCCGTAATTGTATCCCATCAACATCAGGCTCGTAGCACCCTTTCTTCAGCCTTCTTCCACAACCCTCCTCCACTCACCCCAAACTCAATTCACCGGTTCAAACCGCCAAGCAACATGCGCCTCTTCCTCGCCCTTTCACTTGTGGCCTCGGTCGCTGTCAGTGTCCTCGCTGCCGACCTCAAGATTGACGTCACCACTGCAGTTGAGTGCGAGCGAAAGACGCAGGCCGGCGACACCATTGATGTGCACTACAAGGGAACTCTGGAGAATGGCAAGAAGTTTGATGCCAGTGCGTATTTGCGGCGTTCTCCTTGATGCGATATGTGATACTCATCTTTGTTCAGGCTACGACAGAGGCACGCCCTTTACCTTCAAGCTCGGTGTCGGACAGGTCATCAAGGGGTTAGTTCATTGATTGACAGACACGTCGCATTGCGAGCCGTCGCAGCAAGATCTGACCTGAAATCACAGATGGGACCAAGGAATGGCTGGCGCCTGCATTGGTGAAAAGAGGTAAGGGATACAACACGCCCAATTGCGATCACGCGCAAACCCCCAGAGCATCCTCGTGCTGACCATTGTCGTTATTGCAGAACCCTGACTGTCCCTCCCGAGCTCGGCTACGGCAACAGAGGAATGGGCCCTATCCCCGCCGGCTCGACCTTGATCTTTGAGACCGAAATCATTGGCATCAAGGGTGTCCCCAAGCCCGAGACCATCGTCACCAAGTCGACAGAGAGCACAAGCTCGGAAGCCAGCGAGGCGACCGAGGAGTCTTCGGCAGGAATCGCAGAGAACATTGCTAGCGCGGCCAGTGCTGCTGCCGCTGCTGCCGGGACGGTTCTTGTGGACACTGATGATGTCCAAGAGCACAATGAGCTCTAGAAGAGACCAGGCGTCATGCGAAATGCCCATCTGGCGGTGTAAGACTGGCAGTAACTATTCAGCAGTGGATGTTGATTGATTGATCTGGCGCCTGCGCCCGCAGAGTGGCGCACGATCCCATCAGCATCGCATATATAATGTAAAGATATTTGTTCCATGGGCGACAAGATAAAAGTGGCCTCACGTCACCTAATGAGTAGTTGAGATTGTGTTCTACCAAATCTTTCCTGGTCTGGTCGTCAATAACGCGATGCCAAGTGGCCGTACAAATCTGGGGAAGCTACTTTGACATGTTTGTCATAATGACAGTTATGCCAGCAATACACACACTATGTATGGTGGGCGGTAGACCGATATGTATGCCGCCTAGTTTATGTACGTACTACCGGCTTGGGGCCAGCAAGTGCCGGCATGATCCCAACTACATCCGTTGGACCCCCGTGCCGCCAATGCATGTGTTTTCCCTATCACTTTGTGCAACTCTGATTCCAACTCGCTATACTCTTGGTCCTTCGAGACCTGAGGTATGAACCGATTCACGAGACAACTAGAATATCGCGGCGGTTGCCGGCGCTTTTCCAGGCTTTGACCAAGCTGCTTGTCGCGTCCCGACCTACTTATTCACGCTTCTTAATTAGTGGCATTTTGCAGGGAACGTGGGACCTTGCGTTTTTGGTAACCAAGCACACGGAGAGAACGAGGATTAAAAAAAAAAAAAAGCTTGACTGGATCCAGATTGCCGTTTTACCGCCATTCACCAGGAAGTGGAAAAAAAACAAACCCCCCTCCCCCTTCATGTCGTTGGCCTTTCTTTCATCATCAACTTTTGGTTGACTTGCTGCTAGTCTTGAGCCGCCTGGTGGTGAATTTCAGTTTCCCCCCCTAGCGACTGCATCATGCAAAAAGCCTCTCACCATATTGGATAAACGGGTGCGATCGCAAACAGGCGCCATGGGTCATCGCAAAGAAATGATGCAGCGGTTCCCGCACTTGGCAGCCATTCGCTCCTATCTTCCGCCGCTGAATTTCATCACGCTTCATTACTTGTACTTCATTACAGTATGCCTCGTCAGCTCGGTCATTTTCTATTGCTCGTCAAACCCGAGATGGAGCATCTCCTACACGGACAGTCTGTTCCTGGTCATCTCCGCCATGACCGAGGCTGGTCTGAATACTATCAACCTTAGCCAGATGACGACTTGGCAGCAGGTCATGCTCTGGCTGTTGATAATCCTTGGCAGCTCAATCTGGGTCTCCATCTGGACCGTTTTGGCACGCAAGCATTCTTTTGAGAAGCGCTTCAAGGATATCGCCCGCCGGGCCACACTCAGACAAGCGAGATCACAGGACATGCGGCGATCCGCCACCGACATTCCTCTTGCCAGGAAGTTGAGGACTTTGAGCAGAAGCAAGACCACCATGCAAAAATCTGACGGCGCTGAACATGAGCTCGACAGCAAGCGTATCAAAGTGCAAAATGCCGAGAATGGGTCCAACAAGGTCTTATCTATCTCTGGGCCCGTCTCGATGCACAGAATGCGTGAGCCCGTGCCCGTTTCCTCTAGCAACGAGGTTGAGACTCCGACAGTGGCTTCGAGCACAACCTTGGAGGCGGCCCAACCAGGAGAAACGGCCGCTCGCGATCATATCGTCTTTGCAGACCACGAAGAGCAACGGGCTAGCGCGACAACTACTGGCGCTGATCTAGGCACTGGGCTCTCCCGTCGACATGTGCACAACGACAGCGCAGTTTTGGAGGCGAACCAGCTTGAAAACGAGATGAGCCACCGCCATTTCTTGACTGCCAAGAAGATAGGGCGAAATGCACAGTTCCACGACCTGACAGATGAGGAGAGGGAACACTTGGGTGGCACGGAATACCGTGCCCTCAAGGTTCTTTCCATCATTGTCCCGGTCTACTTCTTCTCATGGCAGATACTCGGCTGTGTTGCTCTCGGCGCCTGGATCGCCAACAATCAACCGCAGCCCGCTCGAGACAATGCTATCAACCCTTGGTGGAACGGTATCTTCAACGGCGCATCCGCCTTCAACAACTCGGGAATGAGCGTGCTCGATGCCAATGTCATTCCTTATGGTAGCTCCTACTTTGTCCTGATAGTCATGGGTGCCATGATATTGGCAGGCAACACGGCATATCCAGTATTCCTTCGACTTTGGCTGTGGAGCATCCTGAAGTTGCTGAACTTGCTCACCTACGAGACGTCTTTCCGACACCTCAAGGATACCCTCGAGTATATCTTGAAATATCCTCGTCGAGTATACACCAACTTGTTCCCATCACGGGCTACATGGTGGCTACTGTTCATGCTCTTTGTGCTTAATGGGACTGATTGGGTCGCATTTGAAATTTTGAATCTTGGAAATCCTAATCTTGAGCATATCAAGACTGGGCCTCGCATCATTGACGGACTTTTCCAAGCCATCGGTTCGTAGTTTTCTCCCGCAGCTCATAACCCTGTCAGGTTTGCTAATTAGGAAACAGCTGTCCGTTCTGGAGGATTTTACGTTGTTTCGATCCCCACGCTGTACATCGGTCTCCAGGTGCTCTATGTAATTATGATGTACATCAGCGTGTACCCGGTGGTCATTACCATGCGTCACTCCAACGTCTATGAGGAGCGCTCTCTTGGCATTTATGCCGACGATGTCGATGCCGAGTCCATTGCTTCCACCTCATCGGCCGCTGCGCAGCAGCCGAATCCGGGCAATCCCTCTCTCCTGGGCCGTCTCCTCCGCGGCGTGGCCGGTCGCTGGGATGGGGTCGGCGCGGCCCCCCAGTCTACGGGCAGCGCGAACACGCCCGAGAGCCGTTCCACGTTTATCAGCCACCAGGTGCGCGGGCAGCTCTCGCACGACATGTGGCTCCTTGTGCTTGCTGTGCTCTTCATCTCGACGATTGAGACGCGCCACTTTCTTGAGGACCCGGCCACGTACTCGGTCTTCAACATCATTTTTGAGGTTGTATCCGCCTATGGATGTGTTGGTATTTCGGTCGGTGTGCCGTGGGACGCCTACAGCTTCAGCGGCGGCCTCTACACGGGTAGTAAGCTGGTCTTGTGCCTTGTCATGCTTCGAGGTCGACACCGCGGGTTGCCTGTGGCACTGGATCGCGCCGTGCGGCTGTCCAGTCACGAGTTTGGGCGCACCGAAGAGGAGGACCACCGTATCCGTCGGAGCATGTCCATGAGGCGTCCTAGCACAGATTTTGGCAGAGGGGCTGACATTTAGCTTTCAGAATTGGATACTGTTACTACCGAGTAAATAGAACTGGCCAGACTGACGAGTCTGCTGGGAGTATTATAACGGATAAAAACTACGACATAATGATAGAATTTGGATTGTATGATGCTACATTATCTGGGCTCCTAAGCTCTGTGCAAGTTCATAATTCGTTATCATCGTCTCATTGACTGATACCTGCCCATCATCCAAAGAAGAGTTTGCGCTGTTTTGGATCGGCTTGGCCAGGATTAGGCCCGCGTCCACGCCTTTTCTCATTCGTCCCCGTCTTGGCTCTCTTGTTCGAGCTTGTTGGGTCGCCTTGCCTTGGTGCTGGACTGATACTCTCGGCCTCTCTCTGGACAGCATCCCGAATCGTTTGCCGTGAAAGACATAGGTCGATATGCTCATTGAACTGCCTCTCATCTGTGGGTTGCGGTCGACTGCATATCGGACAATCCCACCATTCCTCCTCCTCCTTGGGTTTTATCTTGGCCCCTTTTGGCGTAGGATTGGGAACTATCTCTTTTCCGTGCCGACGGTATTCTTCAGCATCAGTATCATCGTCTCGTTCATTGCCCAACAGTGCATTAGCGGAAGCTTCCAGCTCGGCATCCGTGGTTTCGGCGGTGGCTTCCTCCGGCCAAGTCTCCCACTCACCGTCCGAGTCGGCCTTTCGTTTCGCGGGCACATCAGTCCCCGAGTCGCCTGACTCTGTGCGCTTCGGCTTCAGGCCAAAGAATGCGCGCGTGTCTGGCTTCTTTGTGCTGACTAGGTGCGTGCATCGCAGGCCCATTAGTCTCAACTTCATGCCGGGCATCTCCTGCTCGAGTTTTGCCAGCATGGGCAGGGCGTAATTGTACAGGTCTTCAGCCTGATAGATTGTCTTGGGTGTGACGACTTGCCGCGTAAAGACCTCATATGAGTGCAGCTTGATCTTGAGGCAAAGGGTCCGACCCTTGCACTCGGCGCGACGCATGTCCTTTTCAAGTTCTTCAGCGGTCCACTTCAACTTCTCCCGCATTTGGACCGGGTCCGACATGTCGCGAAAGGTACTCTCGGTTCCGACGCTCTTGCGCTCATATTCCTCGGCTGGCTGGACATTGGTCCGGCCCAGGCCAAGATGCACCGCGATGAGAAACTCATATGCCTTCTCGCCAAAAAGCTGACGCAGGTACTGCCGCTGTGGGTAAATGTCACCGCACGTCTTGACGCCAACCTCGGCCAGCTCGCGCTCCAACACCCTGCCGATACCGTTGACCTTGCGACAGGGCAGATCGCGCATAAAGGTCACGATGGCGCTCCGCTCCCTGGATAGCAGATACTGGCCATTGGGCTTGTTCATATTACTGCAAATCTTGGCGAGCTTGGCATTGGCCGCGATGCCAGCCGAGACGGTGATCTTGGCGCGCTCATGGACCTCGTCGCGCATGCGCTGCACCACCTCTTCTGGCTCCATTTCGTGCTCATTGCAGTACTCGGTTATATTGAGGTAGGCTTCGTCTATGCTGGCGCTCTCAAACCGGGGGTCATACTCGGCCAGGACCTCGCGCACCTCGCGAGCCTTGGCCGTATACTTGTCAAAGTTGAGGGGAATCAGCAGCAGCTGGGGGCACAGCTTCTTGGCAACGAAGCCAGCCATGCCGCTGCGGCAGCCAAACTTGCGAGCGGCGTAATTGCATGTGGTCAGGACACCGCCGCCGACGGCAAAGGGCACGTCGGCCAGCTCGGGGCGGTCCAGCTGCTCAACGGCGGCATAAAAGGCATCGCAGTCGACGTGCACAACCCACTGGGTCAGGTCCCGGCTGGCCTCGAGCTGGGCGATGAGCTGGTCGGCGTGCCTTAGCTCACGCGAGAGGTCGAGGCGCTCGAGGCGCTGCTTCTTGGCCAGGATGGCGGCGATCTTGCGCGTCAGGATCTGGTCCTTGGCCTCCTCGCGGTTGAAGAATTTCGACCCCTTGGAAGCATTGTAGATGATCTCGGACACCTTGCTCTGGTCGACCGAGTCCTGGCCGGCCTTGGTCAGAGATGGTCCCAGAAGAGAATATTTTAGAGTATCATGGTCATTTGCTGCTGCAGCATCTAGGGCAACATTGGCCTCTTCCACAGGCGCGGGCGCGGGCGCGGGCGCGGATTCATCGTCAGGCCCCGGCTTCTGCTGCTGCGCGGAAGTCTCGTTCTCTGCCATATTGCATAAAATGGCGCCGTCTGTCTACAGGCATCATATGTGCGACATCAGAAGCAAGCTAGCAGAAACATGCCAACAAAGAAAATGATGCTGTACATGCTTTGCCGAGATGATAATCATGATGACGCCGCGTACCGAAAACCGCGTTGGTAGCGCGTTATCACGTGATCTAAAGTAGGCAGCATTTAGCATTTCTTACCCAAGGGAACGCTCATAAGCAAGGGCATTCCTGCGAGTGGGACCCCCTAGACACCAGCTACTGCATGTACGAAATAGCCTTGTATTTTCTTTACCCCTGCTGCGTCTAGGCTTCTTGTTTTTTTCTTCTTCTTTTATTTTTCGCTGTTCTGGTGCCGTCAGTGCAGCACAGGACTTTGTAATGGTGGATTAGAAAAAGTAATAATACCCAAACCGTTTACTTTTTCTACACAACTAATTATATTATGACTCAAATTTTTCAATTGCCAAATGTTTCGTACTTTCTTGATATCTCAACTTGTTTTGGTGGTGCGTGCATCTTTCTTGTCTTTTTATTCGTCGACATGGCAGAGGGTAAAGTTCCAATTCACATGGAAAGAGATCATGTAATTGCCATTCTCGCCTCTCTTTCGTACTTTGAGACATTGCAAGATTAATCTGCTGGCAATACTCGAAACTGATCCCGAATCACGACTATTGTTGCCCCGGCCCGCCTGTTCACTACCTGCAACCAGCAAACCGACCTATAGGCTATGCTCATCGATGGTCATCTCAGTCAACAGAATTTCGTGGCTGTCGGCTCCAACTTCCATTGTAAACTCGATAGATATCAAGAAGGGCGGCTGAAACATAATTCGTTTATAGGTATTTGAGCGAGATGAGATGGCGCCCTGCAGGATGAGATGCTAAGATGCGATATCTGATAAGACAGGGTCGCCCTGTTTTACGAAAATGGCCATCCCTCGTTTGTTTTTACCGTCTTCTCGGTACGATTGCCGATAACAGTAATCAGCTTCTCCCTCGACTCTTCCGTAAAAACGTTGCTTTTTCCAGTATAGCTGCATGATTGATTTGCATGAGCCTGGCAGCGGCCTCGGCTGTCTCCCCCCCTGGATGGCGAGCTTATTTCGCCGCTACGAACCTTCTTTACTTGGTTCCATCAATAATATGCCCGCCCATTCACTGGGATGGCGAGTGACTGGTGGCCCTCCATAGTCTTTGACTCTTTGCAAGAGTTCATAATTCCAAGTTCTGCGATGTATTGATTAGGGTTTATAGATGGATTGCCTAATTCGTTTGCATGGTGTATATGCAGGAGCACGGCAGCTTGCCCTGTTTCCGCTTGCCAAGTGCGCATGAGTGATGACCTGCTCTTGCTATTTCACGATTCTTTTCTACTGACGCAATCAACGGGAAAAGGCCGAATTGCCGACCAGGCCGGTGGACTAGGTATTGGTGAGGCAAACACACGAGAAACCACCAGTGAGGCCATACAATGAGGGTCTCACGATGGCGAAATATTCCCTGCTAGAGATCACGGGAAAAGAAAAGCGATCCATGCATGCGAGTGAAGGGATATCAATGTCAACCGCCATGGTGGTGCGGGAATGTGCAGATCCTGTGATCACAGTCATCAACACCGCCATTTACTCGAAACTGATCTTCAAGATCAGACTCTTGATGTATGCACGTTCAAATTGACATGGCCAAGGGTGTGCATATGTGCATTTTGGTGCAGAACAATAGTCATGAACTATACTACCCAGCACCGTGGGTCTGGATGCAACCACTCATGGATATATAAGAACAACAAATCTCGCAGGATGTTGACAGAAATTTTGTAGCAGAGCAACTCGCACATTCACTCTCTTTTCAGACATTCTTTTCACAGGTCACTGTATTCCTTCATTTCCCTGATCTCCCAGTAATTCACAAACCATCAAAACTCACCTTGACCGCCAAAACACACAACATCTCCAACATGCAGCCCGTACTATTTCTTGCTATGATCTCCGGGGCCGCGGCAGCACCACAATGGTGGTGGCCATTCGGCCCTCCCCCTCCATCTGTTACTAACGGACCACGCCCTCCATACTGGGGCAATCCAGGCGGTGGTGTTCCTCCCTACCCCGTCATCGTGACCCAGAGCGTCGTCACCGTCACCATCACCGAGGAACCCACCACCGAGCCTACCACCTCTTCCGTCGTCAGCTCAGACTCGAGCACGCTGATCCTGGATCCCACTTTTGACAGCACTACCAGTTCTGTCACAGAGACATCGGCATCTGCCAGCCCATCTTTGTCTTCCAACGCCACCGTTATTGTCGAGCCGACCTCGACCGTGACATCCACTTCTACTGATGTTGCCACCCTCACTACCATTTCTGGTACGGTCATTGTTGTGGTAAGCAAGTCTCAGTAATAGATATCCTTGCCATCTGTTCAAAAGAGAAGTATCGAGATTAGCTTGATATTCATGCGCCGTGGAGTAATCAGAATTCGAACCCGAGTTTTGGAAAACGATAGTTGAAAACTACAGCTGACTCTGGATTATAGCCCACCAGCACTGAAACTTCGACTTCAACCGAGGTTGCCACCCTCACCACAATCTCTGGATCTCCCATTGTCACGGGAAACCTGACCGTCACTCTCGAGCCAACTTTCACTGAGACCTCATCTTCGAGTGTTTCGATCAATGGCACCACAGTTTCTGTTTTCCCGACCAGTTCTGGAAACGTAACCGTCACTGTAGTGCCAACTTTGACAGAGTCATCCGTCTCTGTAACTCCGAGCGTTACTGGAAACCTGACTATCACCCTCATTGAGCCCACATTCACCGACTCGACGGTTTCTGCTTCTCCCACGACTTCGAGCAACTCGACCATTACAGTCATTATCATTCCGACCCCCGAGACTTCGGTTTCAGCCTCCCCGACTGCTTCGGGCAACTCGACCGTCACGCTGACAGTCGCCCCACCCACCAATACCACGGCCTCTAGTACCCAGTCTGTGGAGCCAACCTTTGAGATTCCCACGGACACGGCCACGGTCACCTCGGCCAACCTGACCTCCACCGTTACCATCAGCGTCGTGCCCATCACCACCGACACGTCCAACTCGACGACAATTGTGAGCACGCTGCTGCCCCCCAACACGACCATCTCCAGCGTGGAGCCGACATTTATCTCGCCGACTACCCTGACCACCATTACCAGCCCGGCCGTCGTCCCGACCTTGACCACCGTCACCGTCGTTGTCCCCACCTTCCAGAGCTACGGCTACTACTAGATTGGGGGACATTCCCATTCTAGAAATTTCAAAAAGGACCTAGAAGGTTCTTTTTTGGATATCACGATTTCCTTGATGCATGACTCGGGCTTTTCCTTCTGATTCTTTACTCTCATTCATCTCATTTTCATCTGTTTGTGCAGTTCTCCTTTGTTAATTTGTAATTCCTTCATGCAAAGCAAAATCTGGAAAGAAGTTGGAGCAAGGACACGTACGAGGGCTTGGGGGGTTTCAGGAAACGGGGCAATGCATGGGCACCAAGGCCAATGACAAAGACAGCATGGAACGATTCTCAATTCTCTCTGGGAGAATATGTAGATCGTAAGATATTTCCTTTAAATACAATTTCCTTGTTTCTCTCTTTTATGCAAAATGATCTTGATGCCACTGAAAATTCTCGAATACAAATGACAATGTTGAACCTGAGTACCGCGTGACCAATAAGCCATGTGCAATATTGCGCAAGAGGCGCTTACCTGGTGCTTGAGAAATCACCCAGCCTCATATATCGTAGCTTTCCAACATGAGAAGATTTATTTCAGCGAGCTTCTTTTCTAGCATGCTGGTCTCGCCCTGGGCGAAATTCGGCCAGGAGAGAATTTTCTTTTCCCTCTTCTTCCCTTCCTCACACGCAGAAGGACTGGACTGGAGGGCTAGGTCTAACAGCTGTACTTGCAAGATGGTGCAAGGATTTGAGTACGTATTTAATCGATATTGATCCTACTATATACGAATAGTCCAAACATGATATACTTCTAGAAAATCCCCGGCGGCCCAAGCTCCAGATCCATGCACACAGTATTGAACAAGAGACATCGAGGCCGTCTATTCGGGGGCAACTAGTGACCAGAAGCATCGATTCACGAAAGGGAGGGAGAAAAAGAAAAATCTTTCTGCATATTCGCTAATGGAGCATTTTAGGCCGTGTCGCTATCGGTTTGGTTACAGGTGAATCAAACATCATTGCACAAATACTGCATATAGAAGTCAACCTGAGGATTCCATTATTCCCGTAAGGATCGATCATTCAACGACTGTCCAATAGATTGCTCAACGAACCATTATGGCATTCAGAGCCTTGGTCAGACAAATTATCTTATCTCGTTATAGTGGCCGCTGCGGACGCAATTCTGCGGCACAGAGCTGGAAGCCGTTATGCCGTTCCCTCTAGTCCTAGGCTCGCACGAACATGATTTTCCGTCCTACTAAATTCAGGTATACTCCGCGAATTCCACACGCTGTTATTAGGTAATCATTGTCCACTTGGTCAGAAATAGGTGACTGCCTATTAAGCGGCCTATTGCATAAGTCTGTCTCACCACGAGTTGAGCTCCCCCATAAGATCGGCGGGTATCATCATACTCGATATCCCATGATAAATAAAGAAAGGGGAGCAAAAGAAAAAAGAAGACTAACGATTCGGTTCATAATCGCATGACGCCTCTTCTCCATAGCCTTGTGGATCATCTCTGTGTGCCAGCTCCATCGATGCGACGAGACTACCGAGCTACATATGCAACCAGACCGCAGACCGTTGGTTGGCAATTGGGTGCTGGACTGCTGACTGCTGACTGGGCCACAGTGGCGCAGGTATAAGCAGCACTGCAGCCTGGGGCCTCGCACACACTGTGCAAGTCATTCGCTGCAGTTGCATACCCCAAGACACGTGGTAAAGATTATATCCAACTGCCAAGTAGGTAGTCTGCACATAAGCATCACATACCAACAAGGAATGCGCTGTTTATGGACCGTTGGTGAGGACATTGTCGAGGTAAGAATCTGCGGGGTCGACCTTGTTGCATATGTGGGTACTAAATATAACGGGGTATTATGACAACCGTCCTGCGTGAGATCATCTCAGTTGTATATCTAGTGCTGATAAGAAGTGGACTCCTGTGTGAAGCTGCCCGGTAAATGATTGCTGACACTTGATCAACGGACCATCTGTCGCCTTCTTCCAAGCTAGCTAGCAGATTCAGAGCACATCTGTCTTGGATACACAACTTCTGATCGAGGTTGGAGCTGTCGCTATCATTCAGAGCAGGTTCGACTTTGATTTGATACTATTCATACTCACCATGGCGAACAACAACAACAACAACACCAACACCACCACCAGTGCAATCCAGTATGGTCGCAGGCTCTTTCCTTCATATTTGGACGAAATTGCTCAGACAACCCCCGGAAGAGTCTATGCCGCAATCCCAAAAACTGCAAACGTTGAAGACGGATACAGAGATGTGACCATTGCCGACCTGGCCCGATGTGCAAACTTCATGGCTAAGTGGATCGAGGATAAGTTTGGCAAGAGTCAAAACTTTGAGACCATCACCTATCTTGGTCTGTCCGACCTCCGCGGTGTCGCCCTCTTCTTTGGCGCCATGAAGACTGGATACAAGGTCCGAGATCTTCGTCATTTGTCAAAAGAAAAGGAATTGGCAGTTTGCTAATCTATCGCAGCTATTGCTCGTCTCGCCAAGGAACCCGCCCGCGTCTAATCTTTCCTTGATGGAGCAGACTGAGAGCAGCAGGCTTTTGTACTCGGCCGAGCTTGCTCCCTTGATCAATCCCTTCCGTGCCATTGCACCGCCGTCGTACCAGTTGGACGTGATCCCGTCCTTCCTTGAAATGCTCGAGAGCAACCCCGAGCATTATGCCTATGACAAGAGTTTTGATGAGGCGAGGGACGATCCCATCCTGGTGCTGCACTCCTCTGGCTCTACTGGCAAGTAATTTGTCATCTGGCAACTGGATCTTGAGAGCTAATGGAGCATAGGATCCCCAAAGCCTATTACATATACTCACGGTAGTTTCGCAGCGCACGATATGCAGCACCTTCTTCCCGCGCCGACCGGCCGCAGAAAGCGCGATGTTTCCATCTTTGAGTTCAAAGATGAGGCCCGGATATATGTCATATTCCCTTTTTTCCATGTGAGTCCCACATGTTGCCCTAAACGGAGTAACTGTAGTTAAATCAATCACACAGCTCGGCGGCTTCGTGCTATATACCTGTAAGTACCATATTGCTCCTCTGAGTCGGACTCCCATACTGATGGGCTACAGTCCATACAATCTTCGACACGGCCACGATAGTAATCGGCCCGCCACATATACCACCCCACACTGGACTTTTATTGGCGATTGCTCAACAGCAGAAACTGCGCGGAGTTATGATAGTGCCCGCCATGATGGAACAACTCCTACATGAGCCTACCGGGCATGACCTGTACAAGAGCGTCGACTTTGTCATCTATGGCGGGGCTCCACTCTCACCAGAGGTGGCCAACAAGCTTGCACCGCTTCTTGAGCTGGCCGAGTTTTACGGTTCTTCCGAGACGATGGCACTGCCAGAGCTTTTCAAGGATCCCGCGGATTACGACTACCATGAGTTCAATCCTAATCTAAAGTTTGAGATGCAGCCGTATGATGCCAACGAAGGCACATTCGAAATGGTCATGTTGGCCAAGCACAGTGATAGGGATACCGTAGCGCTTTGTCACAATGTCCCTGGCGAAGAATTCTATCACACCAAAGACCTGTTCACACGGCATCCGACAAAGGAAAATCTGTGGAAATACTTTGGGCGTAAAGATGATATCCTCGTGCTTGCCAACGGTGAAAAAGTCAACCCTATTCCATTGGAGTTGGCAGTGCAAGGAGATCCTGCCTTGAACGGGGCGCTTTTGGTCGGTAACGGACGGAACCAGACTGCCCTTATCGTCGAGCCCAAGGAGGCATTGGAAACGAATGCGCGCCAGGAGTTGATTCGCACACTTTGGCCGCAGATAGAGCAGGCAAATAAGCTCCTACCGGGGCAAGGTCGCGTGGCGAAAGACAAGGTCATCTGTGCGTCTCCCGATAGACCATTCGAGAGGACGGGTAAAGCTACCATCATACGATCCTTGACAGAAAAAGCCTACCAACATGAGTTGGAAAGCCTTTATTCTGGCTCTTCACCCCAAAACGGGCTTGCTGGTCTTAGCCTGGAAGCTACTGTCAAGACCACATATGAACCTGCCAAGATTGTAAGCTTCTTGCGCCACGTTTTTGGTGCGTCTTCCTATACAGCTGGAGCTACTATAGAAGAGGGTGAAGACTTCTATTCGTATGGGCTTGACTCGGTGCAGACCCTGGAGATCACTCGAAACCTCAGGCATGCTCTACAAGCCCAGACCTCCAAGCCCACCGACTGGATCACACCTCGGGTCATCTTCCAGAGCCCAACTCTCGCTGATTTGTCCAAATTGCTTGGCGGATTTCTCAATGATGGCATAGTGCCAGATATGGACGAAAGCTCACAAAGCAGAAAGAATCGCGATGTTTTCGAAAACGCCGTGGCACAACACCTGGACGGCCTTGACCTTCCGAGCCGGTCAGTGTCGGCTGGAACAAGCAGCACTTCTACTGTCGCCATCCTGGGCTCCACTGGCTACCTAGGACGTTATCTGCTCGCCACACTCTTGAGGAATCCGACTGTTACCCGGATCGTCTGTCTCGACAGATCAGCTGAGGCAGAGGAGCGGCATAAACCGTTTCTCGCCGGTCTCGGGGAAGACTTTGCCTTGGATAAACTGGTATACTTCCAGATTGAGATTGGCAAGCCGCTTTTTGGACTGAGTAAGTCAGATTACGATTTCCTCGGCCGTGAAGTGGATGCCGTCGTCTACAATTCATGGAAACTTGACTTTGGTCTGTCTTTGCGGTCGTTTGACCCTTTTCTAAAGGCGAGCCGGCAGTTGGTAGAGCTAGCGGCCGTATCAGAAAGAAACATGCGCATCATTTTTGTCAGCTCGGTATCGGCGGTTGGCGGGCTTGCCATAAAAAGCGTGGCCCCTGAAGAGCCTGTTGAGGACCCATCGGCAGCTATTCCCATGGGCTACGGCTTATCGAAGCTCGCCGTTGAGCGCATCCTGCTTACTGCCAACCGGCGGTATGGCATCCCCGTGTCGATCGCTCGGGTCGGTCAAATTGGGGGTCCGAGTCAGACCGGTCCTGATCATGCTGCCGTTGGTCCGTGGGCAGATCAGCCATGGATCTCGGCCATTGCAGTAACGTCCAAATCCCTCGGCGCTCTTCCCACCTTATCCAACCTCCCTCTCGACTGGCTCCCCGTGGACACCATAGCCGCCATGCTACAGGCCTACATTGTCCGCCCCGCAGAAAAAGAGGCACAGATATACAACGTCGTCAATCGCCATGCGCAATCATGGGACATGGTCGTGGATGTCTGGAAGGAGATGCTTGGAGTTTGCGATACTATCGATTTAGCAGAGTGGGTTGCAAAACTTGAAGAGATTCAGGAACCGACCCCCGACGACGCCCGCAGGTTACCCGCTCTCAAGATGTTGCCCGTGTATCAGAACTTCAGTCAGGCCTCTAGACTTTCCAGCTTTGCAACCGACCATGCCCATGGTGTGGCTCAAGTGGAAGCGCCCGTCTTGTCCAAGGAGCTCTTGTCTTTGTGGCTCAGAGATTGGAAGCTATAGGAGATTGGTTATGAAGCATGTACTGTCCATGCACAGAGCTTGCTGGAGCCCTCTCTCTTGCGGGAACTTGCTGTGTAACCGAGCTTGCCAGAGTGATGAATCTTGGACAATGAAGTAGACGTACACTGAGTGACACCATTGCTGGAGGACAGTGGATTTCCATCAGAGACTACCGATATAGAAGTAAGTCAGCACGAAGAGTAGCAATACAGTGAACTTTGCGGTGCAAGCGTCAAGATCTATTAGTCATCTCTAAATAGAGAGCCCATCATCGAAGATGTCCATCAATCCCTGCAAAGCGCATGTTTTGTCAAATAGTGCGTAGACTCTGGTCTGCTTGAGAAGTGGACTTGGCGGATTATGCATCATGATAGGCCAGGCACATTGGCCGAACCTCATTTCAATAGGACCCGTGGTGAAGATTGAGGTATGCACAGCTTCAGGCTGTTCATGTTGATCTAGCGCATTCACCTTTGGGTAGCGGATGTCAGCATTGTATAAATTGGGCATACCTAAAAGGTAGGTGTTTCTCTGATGGGAACAGTAAAGGCGGGCCGGGCGGGACGGACGGGACGGGTTAGGATAAGATGCATCAAATACCTACCAGGGCTAATGTACCTATAGCACTTACGGCTGGTGGCTTGGTGTCTCGACTCGGCCAATCGCATCTGGAGAAAGTGGTGCTGGATTGCCCTTTCGGGGGATCCTCTAGCGCATACTGTTGGCCTTAGTGTCCCGTCCCCGTTGTCCACGAAAATCCAGTGATGATAGGTGATGGAAACGAGCAGGTGAAACTCTTGTTGGACCCCCACTACCAGACACTCTAGCACTCCAACTCGTCAGCAACATTTAAAAGTATGTATGTAGTTGATTGTGATAGGCATGAAAGTGATTGGGACCTGTCATGTCCATTACTTAAGATTTCCATGGACATCAGACGAATTTTTGTGGAGAGTGTCGTCATAGTTGAAACAGTGAGTGAGCTGGCAATGGGCACTGCACTGCACTGCACTGCACTTGCGCCTGCACCGCCTCGACGGCAAAGTATCCGGAGCCCTGGCCCGGACCAACGGGGGGTTTATGTATCTCGGCAACCCTTTTCTTTCAAGCTCTCTCTCTCTCTCCATGCTCCGACCGACAACCATATCAATTCTTTATCTCGTAATCCTCATTCTCGTCTTACCCCGTTCCTCTTCATCACTACTACCACCACCATCATCCCCTGCCCATTACACAACCTCGGAAATGCCAAACCAATTCGCCCAAAAGATCCTCAACAAGCTCGGCGTGAATGAGCACCACCAGAGCCAGGGCGACGCCCAGCAGGCTGGCGGCCCTGGATCCCATGGCGGCGGTGACGGGCCTGGCCACGTTGCGCCCTGCCACATTGCCGAGGAGACGCACATCCTCAGTCCGCACGGCGGTACCTACCCCCGTCTCTGCCGTCTATCTGACGGCAGCGTGCTGTGCGCCTCGACGCGGTTCGAGGGACCAACTCACGTGTTGCACGTGGCCCGCAGCCTCGATAATGGCCGGTCATTCCAGTCTTGGGGTGAGGTCTCGCGCGGCGACGGCGACTGTGACAATCTGTTCCTCTGCGAGGTAGGAAACGGTCCCGAGGGCCCCGTGGTGCTGGGCGCCTTTCGCAACCATGACCTAGGCCCGGACCGCAAGCCCACGCACTTTCGCATCACCGTGTGCCGCTCGAATGATGGTGGCCGGACATGGCACTTTCTGAACCAGGCAGTAGAGCACTCGGCCGCTCAGTCCAATGGCATGGGCCTCTGGGAACCCTTCATCCGTATGGGTCCTCACGGACAGGTGGAGCTGACGTACTCGGCCGAGCTAGCCGGCGACAACCAGGAGACATTCCGGGTAGTGAGTCGCGACGGCGGTCAGACATGGTCAGCGCCTCAGTGTCTGACCTGCCACTCGCCCGACGAGAGATTGCGAGACGGTATGCAGGGCATCGTCTTGGTCCAGGACGCGGCCACGGGTCACAACGCCCTTGTACTCGTCTGTGAGACGACCCGTCACGGCACCTTTAGCGTCGAATACGCCGTCAGCTACGACGAGGGCGCCACCTGGGGCCACCGCGGTGTGGTGTACTGCCCGCCTTGGGGCCGAAACGCGGGAGCGCCGCAGATTGCCAGATTCGGCAATGGGGCGCTGGCAACAGTCTTCATGACGGACGAGGACGCCTCCGAGTCGGACTGGCCCAAGCATGCGTCCGTCAAGGCCGTCGTCGCCAGCGGACTCCGAAATGGCAAGATTGACTGGAGTAGACCGATGCAGGTCAGCCCGCCAAACAGCTCATGGCCTGGAGTGTTGGAGGTCGCGCCTGGACAAGTAATGGCTGCATATGAGCATGATGGAAAGCCAGTAGGCAGACTTCTTAATTTGCAGTGATTGATGAAGGAGCAGGGAAAAAAAGGATTAAAAATTTGAAGCTATGAAAGAAGAGCATATCATCTTTGCTGCGTAGCGTATGAGGATAAAGACTGAAACCAATCGACATGATGAAGAATATTTGTTTCATTAGTGTAATGAATAAAAAATAAATGGTCTCACGTATTGTATCGAGTAACATGTTTCCTCGACGCATTATTCAGTTCTTTCTCGAGAATGAAGCATAAGTACACTATACTTTTCGGTGCTACTAGTTGTGAGTGAGTGGGAAGGTCTGAAAACGACAGTCTGTCGGTGGAGACTGCTCGTACATATATGCTTATGCCACCCATCAGCCATGCTCAAGTCAACAAAAGCTTGTTTTTGATGGTTGATTCACCATTTGATGGGCTTTTGGTGATTAGACTATACAACCCCTGGGACTAATGACCATCGAAACCAAGACGATTGGAACAAAAAGCCCGCGGGCATCGGCACTATTTCGTGGGCGGCATACAGGCCTCCACTTCCCGGTAGTTCTGTTCGATCCCGGCTGGCGGGGGTGGGTTGGATCAGCATTATAGCGCTCTTCCTTATTGCTCAATCGAGCACAAACGGTTAAGAATGCCCCATTTATATATATCACTAAGGTAAGCGGACTATACACCAGACAAGACTGTCGGCTCGGCGCATCGGGATCGTTTACCTATCCGGTAACATGTCTGGGGTTGGGGTCGTAGTCGCAAATATTGATACTTAAGACAAGTCAGACGCTTCCATTTGACACCACATTAATGCTCCAAAGTTCGTGTCAACCAGGCCTGGGCAACGGTTGGTGTTGAACATCCATTCTTCGCCATGAATTTGACTCAACTCCCTCTGGGCGTCCTTGCTGCGGGCGCCGCCCTGCTCTTCATCATCCTTCGTGTAAGTTGACAAAGCAACCAATCTGGCTCATCCCAAAGGAGACAGGACTAACGATGCCACAGTCTGTTTTCAATGCGCTGCGGTCGCCCCTCGCCTCGCTGCCCGGTCCTTGGCACACTCGTTTCACCCGAGTAGTTCTAAAGTTCCACATCCTCACAGGTGGGAGAATTCACCACGTCAACCGTCTTCATCAAGCCTATGGACCGATTGTACGCATCGCGCCCGACGAGGTGGCCATTGCGGACCTGGAAGCCTTCACCCAGATCCACCGCATCGGCGGCGGATTCACCAAGTCGGCATGGTACGACAGCACCGGCACCGGCGCGGGTGTCCCGGCGGCGGCATACGAGCCAGGAGTCTTTGCCATGCGCGACCCCAAGGCCCACGCCCAGCGCCGCAAGCTCTTTGCCCGCCCCTTTAGCAACTCGGCCCTGCGCAAGAACTGGGAGGACATTGTGCGCGGCACGGCCGAGCGCGCCGTCGCCAAGATCCAGGCCGACGCCGCGGGCGGCGGCGATGCCGACGTTCTCAAGTGGTGGACGCTCATGGCCACCGACGTCATTGCCCACCTGTCCTTTGGCGACTCGTTTGACATGGTCGGGCTCGGGCGCCGGAACGAGTACATTGACGCGCTGACCAGCGCGCTGCTGGCTTCGGGCCTGCGCCTCGAGCTCCCGTGGCTTGCTTCCCTCATGCGCGTCGTGCCACTCCCCGCGGTCCAGCAACTTCTCAAGGCCGACGAGGTTGTCTTTGAGGCCGGCGGCAGAGCGGTGGCCAATCTGCGCCAAGCTGGCGGGAACCAGAATCTGTTTGGTCAGATGCTGGCCGAGTCCGAGTCCCAAGAGAAGCACGGCCTCACGGACTTGAGCGTCAGGCTGGAAGCGTCCAATCTCATTATTGCCGGTAGCGATACCACGGCCATTACCTTGACTTATCTTGTGTGGGCAGTACTGAAGAGACCTGACCTGCAGCGGCGCTTGGAAGAAGAAGTCGGTAACCTGTCGGGAGATTTCAAGGATGAAGATCTTGAGAGTCTGCCTCTGCTGAATGCTGTCATTGACGAGACATTGAGACTCTACGGAGCTGCTCCCGGTGCCCTACCTCGAGTCGTTCCAGAGGGCGGTGCCACGCTCGCCGGGCATTTCCTTCCTGCACAGACATTGGTGACGACGCACGCTTTTACGCTGCATCGTGACCCGACAATATTCCCCGATCCCTCACAGTGAGTTTGATGTCAATCCCCTGCAGTATGCATAAATCGCTGATATTCGTAGATTTGACGAAACAAGATTCATGAAGCCGCAGACGGTAGCACAAAAGGCGGCATTTCATCCGTTCGGTGCAGGCTCCAGGATATGCCTCGGCATTCACCTGGCGAGAATGGAGCTCCGTCTGAGCACGGCTCTCTTCTTTAGAAACTGTCGCGGGGCCCAGCTTGGTAGTAGCAACATGGCCGACGAGGTGATGGATATGGAGGAGCACTTCTTGATCTCACCTCGCGGGCATCACTGCAATATCACTCTTGGCAACTTGCGTTAGAGTACTGTATTGGCAGGCATGACTGATGATATCTGGACGAAAATTTCAATGATTATATCTGAATTTAGCGCGAATGAATTCTACCGAATTGCCTCGCAGACTTCCAACCATAGAATGTGCTCGGTCTCTGCTGTATGAGACATTCATAGATTCAAGACGAGAGAACCAGCTGTCCTCTAGCAGCTATACATGACCACAGTTACAGCCGCTGAAGATAAAAATTAATCCTCGCCGTAAACAAGTCAAGTGAAAAGAATGTAGCAATGTTTCTGGTGAGGCTAGGAAGAAAGTGGCGTGGCTCTACTCTGTACTTTCGAGCAGCAAAGCTTCTCGTAGCCGCTCCAAGGATCATGGAGTTCACCGACCGGCAGAGGAAGACAGGCCAACAATCACTGTTGAATCAGTTCAACCACTTCCAGGAACCCATTATCGACGCCGGGTGAAACTCATGTGGGCTAGGCCATCCAAGATATTGCGAGAGAGAGGTGCAAAATCTCAACTGCTACTTCGACCCAGGGAGCCTACCTGAATTTGAGCATTCTCTGGAAGGATAAATTCGGGATGATGCAATGAATCAAGGAGGGAGAAGTAATATGGGGGGGGGGGGTGGGGGGGGGGTT